ACTGACTTTTCGTCTGTTCCCCCAGATTGCTTTCTGTATATACTGTATGTTGAATAATTAATGAATGTTTACTTTCAGATACCGCTGGAACTATTGATGTGAGGTAAATTGCTGTTGATAGATGTTGGCAGAAATCTCCAAAAGCTCTCTATATAAATCACTTTGTTGTCAACAACATCGATAATTAAGCTTTGAGTGCAATATCTCAGGGGCTGCTGCACACAAACTAATAGACACTCTGCCCTTCAATCAAAACCAATGGCATGTCTCTACACTTTCACAATCATAAAAGAGATAAGCTATCTATCAACTCAAGAATATGTCTCTTCACCCATATCAACACATAAAAGTCACGCATCTTAAGTTACTCCAATAAACACAAAAACTCTCATCACTTGAAAACCAACACTAACAATGTATCAAATCTCGAAATAACAACGCATGGAGCATTTATTCAAACCAACACAATTCATAAGTCTTTCTTCAACAAGAGTGATTTCCTTTCTCTCACATTAAGCTGGCAGAGAGAGCCAATGGAAAGGCTTTCTGTTTGTGTGACAGTAAAAGCAAATCCCTGAGTGTGTTTGTTTGCAGTCTCAACACCTCTCCTGTGGAGGAATGCCCTAACCACTGTAATTAAAGATACTGTGGCTTTCCTCTCTCTCTCCACTGTGGAATTTCATACTCTTCCCCGTCCTCTTCTTGTGCTTCTCGCATTCTCTACTCTTTCTCCTTTCATATCCTCTCCCCTATGTCTCTCCGTAGCCTTCATCCCCACCTGGCTTCACTTCTTCTTCTCTTGGCTGTCTTCACCACTTTGTGATTCCTAAAGACAGCCTAGAGACTTCAAAATACCTGATTGACATTGGCTCAATGAGCCATTGCAGGATTCTGAAATGTACTAGGATTATGATATGATGAATACTGTATCTATCTGCTGAAAACGTACATCCAACCAGAATCTTTTGGGATTTTAGTGCACCAGTGATACTTCTGCCCTGTGATGGTACTGACTACTGAGGTAATGAATCAGGGATGACAGTCATGTCCCCTCTATAGATTACATTGGCTTTTCATGTTAGAATTTTCTCATTTACGCAAGGAGTATTGCCGTTTTGGTGTTAGATCCAACGTGTGTCAGGTGAACTGTGTAAGGCAACACATTAGTGACAACAAACAGACGCTATTTTCACAACGATGAACGATTACCTTAATTTAACCAACCAGAGAAATTATGCCTATTGCACCAACATACAGAATCTAAACGTGTTGGTTATGGAATGTGGTTATTTTAAAGTATTGTTTAGGTCTTAACATCAAGACATGGTTTTATCATTGAGTGTCGTGACGCGTCAATTCTAGGCTTATTCTAAACTTTAAGAAAATTCACATTTGTTAAAGCCGTCAAACATGTAATGTTAATTCTATGTGCTGTACTTAAAAACCTGTTGCTTGTGTGGCCATAGCACTATATTTTATACAATAGTCAAATCAAATCAAATTTGATTTGCCACATGCGCCGAATACAACATGTGTAGACATTACAGTGTTAAGTAAAAAAAATTAAAGCAAATAACTAAAGAACAGCAGTAAAATAAAAAAAACTGTAGGGAGGCTATATACAGGGGGGTACCGGTGCAGAGTCAATGTGCGGGGGCACCGGCTAGTCGAGGTAATTGAGGTAATATGTACATGTGGGTAGAGTTAAAGTGACTATGCATAAATAATAAACAGAGTAGCAGCAGCGTAAAAGAGGGGGGTGGGGATGGGGGTAATGCAAATAGTCTGGTTAGCAATGATTAGCTGTTAAGGAGTCTTATGGCTTGGGGGTAGAAGCTGTTGAGAAGCCTTTTGGAACTAGACTTGGCGCTCCGGTACCGCTTGTCGTGCGGTAGCAGAGAGAACAGTCTATGACTAGGGTGGCTGGAGTCTTTGACAATTTTGAGGGCCTTCCTCTGACACCGCCTGGTATAGAGGTCCTGGATGGCAGGAAGCTTGGCCCCAGTGATGTACTGGGCCGTACGCACTACCCTCTATAGTGCCTTGCGGTCGGAGGCCGAGCAGTTGCCATACCAGGCAATGATGCCACCAGTCAGGATGCTCTCGATGGTGCAGCTGTAGAACTTTTTGAGGATCTGAGGACCCATGCCAAATCTTTTCAGTCTCCTGAGGGGAATGGGCTTTGTCGTGCCCTCTTCACGACTGTCTTGGTGTGTTTGGACCATGATAGTTTGTTGGTGATGTGCACACCAAAGAACTTGAAGCTCTCAACCTGTTCCACTACAGCCCCCGTCGATGAGAATGGGGGCGTGCTCAGTCCTCTTTTCTTTCCTTTAGTTCACAATCATCTCCTTTGTCTTGATCAGGTTGAGGGAGAGGTTGTTATCCTGGCACCACACGGCCAGGTCTCGAACCTCCTCCCTATAGGCTGTCTCATCGTTGTCGGTGATCAGGCCTACCACTGTTGTGTCGTCAGAAAACTTAATGATGGTGTTGGAGTCGTGCCTGGCCATGCAGTCATGGGTGAACAGGGAGTACAGGAGGGGACTGAGCACGCACCCCTGAGGGGCCCCCGTGTTAAGGATCAGCGTGGCAGATGTGTTACTCACATCGGCTACGGAGAGCGTGATCACATAGTCATCCAGAACAGCTGGTGCTCTCATGCATGTTTCAGTGTTGCTTGCATAGAAGTGATTTAGCTCGTTTGGTAGGCTTGTGTCACTGGGCAGCTCGCGGCTGTGCTTCCTTTTGTAGTCTGAAATAGTTTTCAAGCCCTGCCACATCCGACGAGTGTCAGAGCCTGTGTAGTACGATAGAATCTTAGTCTGGTATTGACTCTCTGGTTCGTCGGAGGGCATAGCGGGATTTCTTATAAGCGTCCGGGTTAGAGTCCCGCTCCTTGAAAGCGGCAGCTCTACCCTTTAGCTCAGTGTGGATGTTGCCTGTAATCCATGGCTTCTGGTTGGGGTATGTACGTACGGTCACTGTGGGGATGACGTCATCGATGCACTTATTGATGAAGCCAGTGACTGATGTGGTGTACTCTTCAATGCTATCTGAAGAATCCCGGAACATATTCCAGTCTGTGCTAGCAAAACAGTCCTGTAGCTTAGCATCTGCATCATCTGACCACTTTTTTATTAACTGAGTCACTGGTGCTTCCTGCTTTAGTTTTTGCTTGTAAGCAGGAATCAGGAGGATATAATTATGGTCAGATTTTCCAAATGGAGGGTGAGGGAGAGCTTTGTACGCGTCTCTGTGTGTGGAGTAAAGATGGTCTAGAGTTTTTTTCCGTCTGGTTGCACATTTAACATGCTGGTAGAAATAAGGTAAAACGGATTTAAATTTCCCTGCATTAAAGTCCCCGGCCACTAGGAGCACTGCCTCTGGATGAGCATTTTCCTGTTTACTTATGGTCTTATACAGCTCATTGAGTGCAATCTTAATGCCAGCATCGGTTTGTGGTGGTAGATAGACAGCTACGAAAAATATAGATGAAAAGTCTCTTGGTAAATAGTTTGGTCTACAGCTTATCATGAGATACTCTACCTCAGGTGAGCAAAACCTCGAGACTTCCTTAGTATTAGATTTTGTGCACCAGCTTTTGTTTACAAATATACACAGACCGCCACCCCTTGTCTTACCGGAGTAAGCCGTTCTATTCTGCCGATGTAGCGTATATCCCATCAGCTGTATGTTGTCTATGTCGTCGTTCAGCCACGACTCTGTGAAACATAAGATATTACCGTTTTTTATGTCCCGTTGGTAGGATAACCGTAATCTTAGGTCATCCAATTTGTTCTCAAATGATTGAACATTGGCTAATAGGATTGATGGAAGAGGCAGTTTACTCACTCGCCGTCAGATCCTTACAAGGCACCACGACCTACGTCCACGATATCTCTCTTTCTCTCTTTCTCATACGAATTACAGGGATTTGGGCCTTGTCGGGTGTCTGTAGGATTTCCTTTGCGTCCGGCTCGTTGAAAAAAATATATTCGTCCAATACGAGGTGAGTAATCGCTGTCCTGATATCCAGAATCTCTTTTTGGTCATAAGAGACGGTGGCAGAAACATTATGTACAGAATAAATTACAAATAACGCGAAAAAACACACATAATAGTACAATTGGTTAGAGGGCTGTAAAACGGCAGCCATCTTCTCCGGTGCCACTTCAAGTCTATGTTGAACTTAAACCACTGTCATAATATTGCCCTGAATGATGTTGATGCCTGTCAAGTACACAAAGGCCTTACTATGTCCTGATGTGTGACTGCTAATGGGTATAATCCTGTTTTCATACTTTATTAGAGTCTGTAATGCTCTAGTAAACACAGAGGCCATTGTTTTGAGATGCTTAGATTCTGTAGATAATCATACGAACAAGGAAGTGCGATGCTTCTCACATGGCTTGGTTTGACAAGTCAGTCAAGCACTCAAGCATGTATTTGAAAAGCGATTAATGGCTTTTTTTCTTCGGCGCTATAATTTGTTCTATTCAGATAAGAGCACCAGACACGTTAGAAAGGATGCCAGTTTTGCACCGCCGTCTCAGGTGCCATCTCCTGCATAGTGCTTTTTTCATCATCAATAATGTTGCGTTTCTGTCCAAATAGCTTTTCTCATAAGACAGATTCAGAGTTTTTCTTCTGAATGAAGAACATAAGAAGAAACAGGGGGAGGGATGGCAGCACTGACTCTTCAGCTTGGAGAGGATGCTGTAGACTGTGAAATATGAAGGTCACTGAATTCACTTCCAAAGTCTGTATCTCTGGCAGAATTTCAAACAAATCGACTGTTCTGGTTTCCTCCAAGTGACGTACTCTCATCTCCCACTCCACCCAACACAGGACTGACTCAGTCTTTCACTTCCTCACACTTTTTCTCATGAGCACACACACATACACACTCCTTCATTAATACACAGTCAACTGGTTGCAGCTCTGAGCGCATCATATCCCAATCATTCATCCCTCCTTGCGTCTGACACAAGCATATTATGATTGACAACCTCTGCATAGAGGCCTTTGGGCTCTTATGGGTTTTCTCAATCAAGTTGGGTGCATTTTGTCTCTATCTACAAGGCACACTTAGCAGACTGTATACACCAGCCTATATTTCACTAAAAGAGCTTTGCCTTAGCAGGACTCTGGGAATGCAAATGTAGGCAGGTCTCAGTCTGACAGCTTTATGCTGGTTCCTCTCTCAGCCTCCGCCACAGCCACACAGGTGTACGCCTCTGAAAAGAATGAAACCGTCTGCCTTCCAATGAAAATGCATTCTGCTGGAATTTATCATGTGTCTGACATGCACCAGGTGTCTTCAACCAAGCAGAGAGCTTTTGCTGAAAATCTGCGAGGGCCCATGCATTGCAGATATAGTAGACCTTGCTTAGGCTTGCTTCGAGAATATGACTGAAATTCTTCATTGCACATTTTTGGCTTTTATAGTTGGACAGCTCTGAGCATGGCTGACTAATGTTGCGATGTAGAGAGGGTGTTAGCGAACCCCATTCTATACGTCTTTAATTAGTGCTCTCGTTAATCTAGTGCTCTATGGGCTTGTTAATTAGACTCACTCTTCCTAAGGCCGCCACGCAGCCAGGCAGAAGACGGGACCAGCATCTCTCAGAGAACTCAAATCATCTTCAAACTCTTGACCCACCTCAATTTACCTTCAGGCTTGTCCTTCTGGATGTGTTCAAGTGTGGATGTCAGAAGAAGAAGACTGACTTGATTCCTCCCATTGAACAGTGGCTACAGGCTGAGGCGTCAGTTTTGATCGTGCTGGTTACAGCCCAAGGGCTCTCTTTATGATCCATAAGTAATGTTCCTTTCTCATTACCACTCCCCCCCCCCCTCCTTATGTCATTGACCGTCTCACCGATTTTTCCCTTCCAACCACTGAATATCACAATGACAGCCGTGATGACCAGGGCCAGACTAATGCATTTTGGGCCCCGGGAGCACCTACCTCTAGGTATCCCCAACCTTAATTGTGGTACAGTAGTTCAGGTGAGTTGACGTATCAATGGTGAGTAATTGGTCCTCGTCCATGACGAAGTGATGTACTGTACACTACTTAATTTGCCGGTTCAGATTTGGCACAAGGGTAGTCAGGTGGCCTACATAACCCAACACATCAAACCTATCATCACATAGACCCACATTGCGGCGTAGTCAACACACATCATGTTCACCCTCTGACAAAAGCCATTATGGGATGGGTCAGATGTGTTAACGATACTCTCATCTCTGTCTCCTCAGATAACTCTCTCTAAGGGGATGTGTGTCTGTGGTTAGGAGAGAGAGACGTGTGCGTCACGTGCGTGCAGGGAGCTTGTGCCACGGTTGGCCATAATAACAATGGGTTCAGATATGGGGGTGAGAAAAGGTAAAGTTCCAACGTTACAACATAGAGACGTCATGGGGTCTTGGAGAACTTCACAGAACAACACAGACTCCAGGCTACTTGGGTTCCTGTGTCCATCCCCTCTTCCCAACTATCTCCCGGTCTCAGTTCTTCTCACACCCAGAAAGGCCATCTGAGGTTGGAGTTGTGAGCTGAAGTGACTCAGGATGTATGGAAGGGTCTAGAGGCAAGATTACCCACCTCAGTGGCTGGCGTCCATATTGCAACGAGACGTTTGTCGCGCATGATGTGACAAATGGCCTTGTTGCAGGTGAGGAGGATTCAAGACAAACAGCGTCAATGCAAATAGTCATCACGCCATCTGAAGATGAATGGAAAGGATCATTAGTGGTATCAGAAGCTACCTGTTGAACTGCTCGTTTTACTATGTTCATTCTCTAGCATCATATTGATTTTGTGTGTGTACAGTGCATTCGGAAAGTATTCAGACCCCTTGACTTTTCCACATTTTGTTACGTTACAGCCTTATTCTAAAATGGATTACATTTAACATTTTACTCATCAATCTACACACCATACCCTATAATGACAAAGTGAAAACAGGTTTTTATAAATTTTTTCACATTTATATATAAAATAAATAAATATATTCCTTATTTACATAAGTATTCAGACCGTTTGCTATGAGACTCGAAATTGAGCTTGAGATGTTTCTACAACTTAATTGGAGTCCACCTGTGGTAAATTCAATTGATTGGACATGATTTGGAAAGGCACACACCTGTCTGTATAAGGTCCAACAGTTGACAGTGCATGTCAGAGCAAAAACCAAGCCATGAGGTCGAAGGAATTGTCTGTAGAGCTCCGAGACAGGATTGTGTCGAGGCACAAAACATTTCTGCAGCATTGAAGGTCCCCAAGAACACAGTGGCCTCCATCATTCTTAAATGGAACAAGTTTGGAACCCCCAAGACTCTTCCTAGAGCTGGCCGCCCGACCAAACTGAGCAATCGAGGGAGAAGGGCCTTGGTCAGGGAGGTGACCAAGAACCCGATGGTCACTCTGACAGAGCTCCAGAGTTCCTCTGTGAAGATGGGAGAACCTTCCAGAAGGACAACCATCTCTGCAGCACTCCACCAATCAGGCATTCCACCCGAGTTACTGCCTGTTCACCCCGCTGTCATCCAGAAGGCGAGGTCAGTACAGGTGCATCAAAGCTGGGACTGAGAGACTGAAAAACAGCTTCTATCTCAAGGTCATCAGACTGTTAAACAGCCATCACTAGCACAGAGAGGCTGCTTCCTAAATACAGACTTGAAAATCACTGGCCACTGTAATAAATGGAACATTAGTCACTTTAATAATGCCACTTTAATAAGGTATACATATCTTGCATTACCCATCTCATATGTATATACTGTATTCTATACTATCTGAGTTTTGTAGTGTGTGTGTGTGTGTGTGTGTGTGTGTGTGTGTGTGTGCGCGCGCGCGTGCGTGTGTGTGTGTGTGTGTGTGTGTGTGTGTGTGTGTGTGTGTGTGTGTGTGTGTGTGTGTGTGTGTGTGTGTGTGTGTGGTGTACAAAACTCATCCCACTACCATTCTACCCTGGAGGGGAGCGGGGCCACCCGCCTCTTGCAATCATTAGTCTCTTTCAAAACAAATTAGCACGGAACCCTAGAGATGTGTTACAAGTGAGTGTTGTCAGCATGTGGTATGTGGCAGCCAAATTGAAATGACAAAGAAATGATCAGTCTATAATTGTAATGGTAGGTTTCTTTGAACAGTGAGAGACAGAATAACAACAAAAAAATCCAGACAAACACATGTCAAAAATGTTATAAATTGATTTGCATTTTAATGAGGGAAATAAGACTCTTAAAGGGAGTGCTCCTAATCTCAGTTTGTTACCTGTATAAAAGACACCTGTCCACAGAAGCAATCAATCAATCAGATTCCAAACTCTCCACCATGGCCAAGACCAAAGAGCTCTCCAAGGATGTCAGGGACAAGATTGTAGACCTACACAAGGCTGGAATGGGCTACAAGACCATCGCCAAGCAGCTTGGTGAGAAGGTGACAACAGTTGGTGCGATTATTCGCAAATGGAAGAAACACAAAAGACCTGTCAATCTCCCTAGGCCTGGGGCTCCATGCAAGATCTCACCTCGTGGAGTTGCAATGGTAATGAGAACGGTGAGGAATCAGCCCAGAACTACACGGGAGGATCTTGTCAATGATCTCAAGGCAGCTGGGAACATAGTCACCAAGAAAACAATTGGTAACACACTACGCCGTGAAGGACTGAAATCCTGCAGCACCCGCAAGGCCCCCCTGCTCAAGAAAGCACATATACAGGGCCGTCTGAAGTTTGCCAATGAACATCTGAATGATTTAGAGGAGAACTGGGTGAAAGTGTTGTGGTCAGATGAGACCAAAATCGAGCTCTTTGGCATCAACTCAACTCGCCGTGTTTGGAGGAGGAGGAATGTTGCCTATGACCCCAAGAACACCACCCCCACCGTCAAACATGGAGGTGGAAACGTTATGCTTTGGGGGTGTTTTTCTGCTAAGGGGACAGGACAACTTCATCGCATCAAAGGGACGATGGACGGGGCCATGTACCGCCAAATCTTGGGTGAGAACCTCCTTCCCTCAGCCAGGGCATTGAAAATGGGTCGTGGATGGGTATTCCAGCATGACAATGACCCAAAACACACGGCCAAGGCAACAAAGGAGTGGCTCAAGAAGAAGCACATTAAGGTCCTGGAGTGGCCTAGCCAGTCTCCAGACCTTAATCCCATAGAAAATATGTGGAGGGAGCTGAAGGTTCGAGTTGCCAAACTTCAGCCTCGAAACCTTAATGACTTGGAGAAGATCTGCAAAGAGGAGTGGAACAACATCCCTCCTGAGATGTTTGCAAACCTGGTGGCCAACTACAAGAATCGTCTGACCTCTGTGATTGCCAACAAGGGTTTTGCCACCAAGTACTAAGTAATGTTTTGCAGAGGGGTCAAATACTTATTTCCCTCATTAAAATGCAAATCAATTTATAACATTTTTGACATGCGTTTTTCTGGATTGTTTTGTTGTTATTCTGTCTCTCACTGTTCAAATAAACCTACCATTAAAATTATAGACTGATCATGTCTTTGTCAGTGGGCAAACGTACAAAATCAGCAGGGGATCAAATACTTTTTTCCCTCACTGTATATATTGTTTGTATTTACCCTGTATATTAACTATTTGTACTGTGTGATTTAGAGTGCTAATTGAAGGCTATATTCAAAGCCCATTTTTATTGCCATATACACTGCTATTTGTGTAGCACTTAGCAGGGGCTCAACTTTCACTGGGAACGGGGGGGACATGTCCCCCATACATTCTGAAATTGCATTTTTGTCCCCCCCAGTTTTATCATTGGAACGTGATATAAAATGCGGCAACAGTGTGCTTTAGGACCATGCGGACCCCACCAAGCGGTCGGGTAGGCTGTTTGGAGTGTTTATCTGACTGGATTTAGGACATTGCGGACACCACAGAGCGGGCTGATAGGCTGTGTGAAGGCAAAGCTTCTGGAAGGCTGGCTGGACCAGCACGGGAGAGTTGAGCATAGTACAGTGTGTACTTGTTGCGCACTTTCACCGAGTTGTAAAAGGAAGCAGAACAGAAACTGGCTACTCTTTAGTTGACTCTAACCGTAAACTAGTGTTTATGCGCAGTGCTGAGCTAGAATTGTAACTGACATGTAATGATAGCTAATGTTTCATCCCCTCTTGACAGAGGTGAATGAATAAGCTACGCTAGTGAGTAGCTACCACAGTCAGATCAGCTCTAGCCTCTAGTTATCTGTCAGATAGCGATATGAAGTGGCTATTATTATCTAACAGCAGTTGTTTGTATGAACTTGGCAAGCTTTCGCCAGTTGATGTACCATTAGGGAGAGGGCTGGCCAAAAGTTGGCTTACATTAGCTATTATTTTTGCCTCAATCATACTACACCTGAATCAAATGATGAAACCATCGGCCAAACGATTGAAGATTGATATTCTGATATTCTGTTTTTTTTGTGCAATGTGAGTTGTATTAGTCAGTATGTCAATGTAATGTTATTGATCTGTCAGTTTCCCAAGCTAATTCCCTACTTTTCACACTGACACAGTAATAAACAGCTCTAACGTTACAGGCTTTACTGTCATGGTACACAGTAGAGGTCTGCGAGGGACCCATTTCTTTGTCCAGCTCCCGCCCGCACCCGCTGGCTTTCTGTCCGACTCCACAGTCCTGCAATGTTATTTTAGGTGTTTGTGATGCAGCTCACTTGCCAGCCATGGTCCCAGCAATTTTGTGCCCTATAGGCAATATCAAATGTGCAAAAATAACTTAAGAAATAGGTTAAATTACCAGAGATTCTAACATGGCCCTTACATTGTATTACTGGGCTATATCAGCCAATATGCTAGATGTAGTTTGAAGAGAGCAGAGTTGGAAAGACTTGCACTTTCTCTTGAGCTATTTTTAAAGCCTACCTTTTAAGGAGAGGGAAGATTTTCAGACGGAGAAATATGGCTGATCAATATTTAGGCCTATTTCTAGGCAATATAGTAAACTATAGCCTAATCATAGGCCTATTTAGGAAGTACATTTCCTTGGAAAGATAACTGCCCCGTGCTTCTCCGCCCATGTATACATAGGCTATAGCCTACTCTATTTAATTGAGACCACACGCGCACCTGATCGCGCAGTATGGCTACTGAACTGGAAGCAGCAAGAATGATGACAGCGACACTTGCTACATTTTGCATAGTCCTATAGGATATAGCCTACCGTTTAGAAGGACGATTTGCAGGCAGAGACTAATAAATGGGTAATCCATACTTATTGAAAATGAAAAGGCGCAACTCTCATTCACCATAGTAGCCTAACCTATGTGCGCGTTATGCTTTTTCCTTTTCAATGATGATTACATTTTTTGATTGCACTTCGACTCACGTAGGTTGAGCGCCCTCCACTTCTTTTCATTATCAATATTTATTTACAGACACTGTAGTAAACTACCGCCTGCAGCATGAAAAATGCAGACCGCGCTGCAATGATCTCTGTCGGGACCGGCAGGTCCCGCAGGCATCCCTCTAGTGCAGTCAGTACCCAACACTATGCTCATCATGTCTTAGCAGGATCAAATGGTGACAGGGGCCCCAGCAGGGTCAGACAGCCAGGAAAGACCAGTCTATGGAGCTCAGGTGAATTTTGCAGTAAATTCAGTGAATGATACAAAGTTCCATCTTGAATTTATGGGTAGACCTACAGTAGCTACAGGACAGCAGCTTAAGCTTAAAGCTACAGTCTGGGATCTGGGAATAATGGTCATTTCAATTATTGAACCATTGATTCTATATTCTATAAATTAATGTATAAATGTACACCAAGGTAATTATTTGTCATGCCTCATTTTAGGAGGATCAGATGGTGACAGGGGTCTCAGCAGAGTCAGGCAGCCAGGGAAGACCAGTCTGTGCAGAGGTTAGGTGAATTTTTGCAGATACAACACTTTATTATCTCTGTCCAGCAAACACTGGACAAGCCAGATGCTATTTTCCAAAGTTGATTTCCAAACTGTATCAAGGGTTGATAGAGGCTTTTCCCGATGACACACAACATGTGAAACAAAAATGTGAGGAAGACCTGGGAGTTGCTATTGATGTTGATGAATGGATACAGATATGTTAGAATGCCCAGTCATGTTCATATAATCTCAGACATAAATTACTGCAGTTTACGACCCTCCATAGAACGTACCATATGTCAGTGAAACTGAATATCATGCACTCAGAAATTATGTTATTATGCTGGAGATGTAGAACACAAAAGGGGACATATTTGCCTATGTTGTGGTCTTGTGAAGGCTGGCTGAATTATGGCAAAGAGTACAGTTGAAGTCGGAAGTTTACATACACCTTAGCCAAATACATTTAAACTCAGTTTTTCACAATTCCTGACATTTAATCCTAGTAAAACTTCCCTGTCTTAGGTCAGTTAGGATCACCACTTTATTTTAAGAAAGTGAAATGTCAGAATAATAGTAGAGAGAATGATTTATTTCAGCTTTTATTTCTTTCATCACATTCCCAGTGGGTCAGAAGTTTACATATACTCAATTAGTATTTGGAAGCATTGCCTTTCAAATGTTTAACTTGGGTCAAACGTTTTGGGTAGCCTTCCAAAAGCTTCCCACAATAAGTTGGGTGAATTCTGGCCCATTCCTCCTGACAAAGCTGGTGTAACTGAGTCAGGTTTGTAGGCCTCTTTGCTCGCACATTATTTTTCAGTTCTGCCCACAAATGTTCTATAGGATTGAGGTCAGGGCTTTGTGATGGCCACTACAATACCTTGACTTTGTTGTCCTTAAGCCATTTTGCCACAACTTTGGAAGTATGCTTGGGGTCATTGTTCATTTGGAAGACCCATTCGCGACCAAGCTTGAACTTCTTGACTGATGTCTTGAGATGTTGCTTCAATATATCCACATAATTTTCCTTCCTCATGATGCCATCTATTTTGTGAAGTGCACCAGTCCCTCCTGCAGCAAAGCACCCCCACAGCATGATGCTGCCACCCCAATGCTTCACGGTTGGGAGGGTGTTCTTCGGCATGCAAGCATCACCATTTTTCCTCCAAACATAACGATGGTCATTATGGCCAAACAGTTCTATTTTTGTTTCATTAGACCAGAGGACATTTCTCCAAAAAGTATGATCTTTGTCCCCATGTGCAGTTGCAAACCGTAGTCTGGCTTTTTTATGGCGGTTTTGGAGCAGTGGGTTCTTCTTTGCTGAGCGGCCTTTCAGGTTATGTCGATATAGGACTTATTTTACTGTGGATATAGATACTTTTGTACCTGTTTCCTCCAGCATCTTCACAAGGTCCTTTGCTGTTGTTCTGGGATTGATTTGCACTTTTTGCACCAAAGTACGTTCATCTCTAGGAGACAGAACGCGTCTCCTTCCTAAGCGGTATGACGGCTGCGTGGTCCCATGGTGTTTATACTTGCATACTATTGTTTGTACAGATGAACGTGGTACCTTCAAGCGTTTGGAAATTGCTCCCAAGGATGAACCAGAGGTCTACCATTTTTTTCTGAGGTCTTGGCTGATTTCTTTTGATTTTCCCATGATGTCAAGCAAAGAGGCACTGAGTTTGAAGGTAGGCCTTGAAATATATCCACAGGTACACCTCCAATTGATTAAAATGATGTCAATTAGCCTATCAGAAGCTTCTAAAGCCATGACATAATTTTCTGGAATTTTTCAAGCTGTTTAAAGGCACAGTCAACTTAGTGTATGTAAACTTCTGACCTACTAGAATTGTGATACAGTGAATTATAAGTGAAATAATCTGTCTGTAAACAATTGTTGGAAAAATTACTTGTGTCATGCACAAAGTAGATGTCCTAACTGACTTGCCAAAACTATAATTTGTTAACAAGAAATGTGTGGAGTGGTTGAAAAACAAGTTTTACTGACTCCAACCTAAGTGTATGTAAACTTCCGACTTCAACTGTATGTTCTTTTGTCTCAGCATGTCTACAGATTCTCCCTTCTCCCTGTTTTTGTTTGCTTGGAAAATGTTGATACTGGAGACTGTTATCAGAAGAAACTGTGTTTATAGTGGCTAATAAATGCATTGCTATTAATTGGAAGGTTGGTTATCCTCCCCCAATGTATGCAAGAAAGTTATGTATAGTATTACTATATTTATTTTAAGATTAAGGGTATACTGTGCAACTTTCATAAAGTCTGGATGCCTTATATGGAATACTGTACGACAAAAGGAGTGTATTGAAAACATGCCCACATCAGGGGAGATACCTATTTAGGCAATCCCTAGCTGCTGGGCTGCTCAGTCCTGGTCCTGGGGGTCTTATGTACTGTTGTCACTCTGGCCTTGGCCTAACACACCTGAAACCAATAATGAATGTTTCACTAAGATCCTAAAGCTGAATGGGGTGTGTTGGGTTGGGGTGCTACAGGGCCGTGGACCGCTAGAGGCAGGACGGGGTGACCTAGCTGTATTGTGTGCAAGTAAAAAGAGCTCTACAGTACTGTTAGGCCTATGATGCAGAGCCCCACCTGTTTTGAGCCCCACCTGTTTACCAATGATGATTCACCAAGGATGGCGCCAGAGGGGATGGCTGCTGTTTTATGGACTCTTAACCAACCGCGCTATTTTGTGTGTTGTTTCGCATTGTTTGTAACTTATTTTGTACATAATGTTGCTGCTACCGTCTCTTATGACCGAAAATAGCTTCTGGACATCAGAACAGCGATTACTCACCTTGAACTGGATGAATAATTTTTATTTTATGAGTCGGACGAGAGGGATTTGCTCCAGACACCCGACAGGGCCCTCATCCCTGTCATTCGCAGTAGAAAGAAAAGGAGATATCACAGAAGGAGATCAGGGTGCTTGGTAAGGAGCTGGCGACGATTGGCTAATCTGCCTTTGCCATCGATACTATTGGCCAACTTACAATTGCATGATAATAAAATTGACGAACTACAGGCACGAATATCCTACCAACGGGACATTGAAAACTGTAATATCTTATGTTTCACCGAGTCATGGCTGAACAATGAGATGAATAACATACAGCTGGCGGGTTATACACTGTATCGGCAGGATAGAACAGCAGCCTCTGGTAAGACAAGGGGTGGAGGTCTATGTATATTTGTAAACAACAGCTGGTGCACAATATCTAAGGAAGTCTCAAGGTTTTGCTCTCCTGAGGTAGAGTTTTCATGATAAGCTGTAGACCACACTATCTACCAAGAGACTTTTCATTTATATTCTTCGTAGCTGTCTATTTACCACCACAAACTGATGCTGGCACTAAGACCGCACTCAATGAACTGTATACGGCCATAAGCAAACAGGAAAATGCTCATCCAGAGGCGGCGCTCCTAGTGGCCGGGGACTTTAATGCAGGGAAACTGAAATCCGTCTTACCTCATTTCTACCAACATGTTAAATGTGCAAGCAGAGGGGAAAAAAACTCTAGACCACCTTTACTCCACACACAGAGACGCGTACAAAGCTCTCCCTCACCCTCCATTTGGAAAATCTGACCATAATTATATCCTCCTGATTCCTGCTTACAAGCAAAAACTAAAGCAGGAAGCACCAGTGACTTGGTCAATAAAAAAAGTGGTCAGATGAAGCAGATGCTAAGCTACAGGACTATTTTGCTAGTACAGACTGGAATATGGATTCTTCCGATGGCATTGAGGAGTACACCACATCAGTCACTGGCTTCATCAATAAGTGCATCGATGACGTCATCCCCACAGTGACTGTACGTACCCCAACCAGTAGCCATGGATTACAGGCAACATCCGCACTGAGCTAAAGGGTAGAGCTGCCGCTTTCAAGGAGCGGGACTCTAACCCGGAAGCTTATAAGAAATGCAGCTATGCCCTCCGACGAACCATCAAACAGGCAAAGCGTCAATACTGGACGACTAAGATTGGATTGTACTACACCGACTCCGACGCTCGTCGGATGTGGCAGGGCTTGCAAACTATTACAGACTACAAAGGGAAGCACAGCCGCGAGGCAAGTAACACTGAAACATGCATGAGAGCATCAGCTGTTCCGGATGACTGTGTGATCACGCTCTTTGTAGCCGATGTGAGTAAGACCTTTAAACAGGTCAACATTCCCAGGATGTGTACTCTGAGCATGCGCAGACCAACTGGCAAGTGTCTTCACTGACATTTTCAACCTCTCCCTGTCTGAGTCTGTAATACCAACATGTTTCAAGCAGACCACCATAGTCCCTGGGCCCAAGAACACTAAGGTAACCTGCCTAAATGACTACCGACCCGTAGCACTCATGTCTGTAGCAATGAAGTGCTTTGAAAGGCTGGTCATGACTCACATCCACACCATTATACCAGAAACCCTAGACCCACTCCAATTTGCATATCGCCCCAACAGATCCACAGATGATGCAATCTCTATTGCGCTCCACACTGCCCTTTCACACCTGGACAAAAGGACCAGCTATGTGAGAATGCTATTCATTGACTACAGCTCAGCTTTCAACACCATTGTGCCCTCAAAGCTCATCACTAAGCTATGGACCCTGGGACTAAACACCTCCCTCTGCAACTGGATCCTGGACTTCCTGACGGGCCTGCCCCAGGTCGTAAGGGTAGGTAACAACACATCCGCCACGCTGATCCTCAACACGGGGGCCCCTCAGGGGTGTGTGCTCAGTCCCCTCCTGTACTCCCTGTTCACTCATGACTGCGTGGCCAGGCACGACTCCAACACCATCATTAAGTTTGATCAAAAGGCTACCCTCTCCTACCCACTCCTTGTCATGACACATGTACTGGAGGCAGCTCTGCAGAGTGGTCACTAGCTGGCACAGCCACAAAGTCATAAAATCTGATTTTAAACCTGACCCTAACCTTAACCACACTGCTAACCCTAATGCCTAACCCTAACCTTAATGCAAATTTTTGTTTTAATAAATTTTTACGATAAAACCAATTTTGATTTGACTTTGCAGCTGGCCCATATAGCAGAAATCGCTCAGTTCTGCCTCCAGGGCAAGATTCATGATAATAAATGTCAACCTGCTTCCCAAGCGGCCAAAGCGGCCTACCAAGAGGCCTACCAAATGACATACCACATGGCCAACCAATCGGACACCCCGGCCTACCAAGTGGCCACCCACACCAACCAAGCGTCCATCCAGGCCCCAACCCAGGCCATCCAGGCCTTAACACAGGCCATCTAGACCTCAACCCAAACCCAGGCCATCAGGGCCTCCACCTAGGCCATCCAGGCCCCAACCCAAACCCAGGGATTCCAGACCTCAACCCGAATCCAGACCTCAACCCGAATCCAGGCCTCAACCAAGGCCATCCGGGCCTCAACCCATGCCATTCAGGCCTCAACCCAAACCCAGGGAATCAAGACCTCAACCCGAATCCAGGTATCAACCCGAATCCAGGCCTCAACCCGAACCCAGACCACCCAGGCCTCAACCCAGTCCACCCAGGCGTCAACCCGAACCCAGTCCACCCAGGCCTCAACCCGAACCCAGACCACCCAGGCCTCAACCCTGTCCACCCAGGCCTCATCCCGAATCCAGACCACCCAGGCCTTAACGTAGGCCATCCAGGCCCCAACCCAGGCCATTCAGGCATCAACATGAACCCAGGTCATCCAGGCGTCAACCCAGGTTATCCAGGCCTCAACCTGAACCCAGGCCATCGAGATCCCTACCCAGGCCAACCAGGCCTCAACCCAATCCATCCAGGCCCCAACCCAGGGCATGCAGTCCCCAACCCAGGCCAACCAAGCAGTCAACCCAGCCCCTAGCAGAGCGGCCAACACTACCCCCAGGCCCCCTACACTCGCCTAGCTGCAAGTTACCATCACCAGGATCCAGCCCTCCACGCAGCAACCGGCTCAGCCCTACCAGTATCCGGCCCAGCCTTACCAGTCTCCGGCTCAACCCTACCAGTGTCCGACACAGCCCTACCAGGCCCCCACACAGTATCCGGCCCAGCCTGACCAGGCCCCCACGCAGCAACCGGCTCAGTCTTACCAGGCCTCAGCTCAGCTACCAGTCCAGCCTTACCAGGCCCCGGCTCAACTACCAGTCTAGCCTTACCAGGCCCCAGCTCAGCTACCAGTCCGGCCTTACCAGACCCCAGCTCAGCAACCAGCCCAGCCGTACCCTGCGCCAAGCCCAGTGGCTCTAGCTCAGCAATTAGCTCAGCCTTACCAGGCCCAAATCCAGAAACCAGCTCGGCCTTACCAGGCCAAAGTCCAGAAACCAGCTCGGCCTTACCAGGCCAAAGCCAACAACCAGCCCAGCCTTACCAGGCCAAAGTCCAACAACCAGCCCAGCCTTACTAGGCCCAAGTCCAGCAAACAGCTCAGCCTTACCAGGCCCCCATGCAGCAACCGGCTCAGCCCTACCAGTCCCCGGCCCATCCCTACCATTCTCCAGCCCAGCCCAGCCCTACCAAGCCCACTCTCAGAAACTGGCCCAGCCCTACCAGGCTACCAGCTACCCCAAGCTCCAGATTACCAGCTACCCCCGGCCAGCCAGCTACCCTCAGCCCCAGCCTGCCAGCTACCCTCTGCAAGACGCCACCAGCCATTACCAAGCCCCCAGCCATGTTAGCCCCATCCTGCCACCAGAAGTGCGACCCCCCCCCCCCCCCCCCCCCCCCCCCCCGCCCGGAGTGTTACCCCACCAGTGCTCAGTGCACCATGCCCTCAGAGCACTCCCCCTCTAATGACCAGTGTGTCATTCTCCCCGAACACTCCCTCTTCAGCGGCCTTCAACCCCCCCAAGCTCCCCCAAGCGGCCCACCCGGCCCCCACATTGCCACCAGTAGCCAGTGTGCCCCCCAGAGTCCCTCCATTGGCCACCACCTACACCCCCCGATGTAGTGGCAATTGGCTCATCTGCCCTCTATGGCACATCACAGTTTGCAGCCCCCCTCTACCACAGGAGATGCATGCACATTTGAGGGGCGGCTGTAAAAAACTCTTCCCACTTCCCTTCAACCCTGGAGGTGAGCCTCCCACCTACAAACAACCAGATCATGTCCACCTGAAAGAGGCGGGGCTACACCTTTAAATGCCCCCATCTGCAATCATTAGTCTCCTTCAAACCAAACCAGCACTGAACCCTAGAGGTGTGTTACTGACAGTAGGCAGGTATCCGTTTGCCCAGGTTTATTGAAAAAAAGCAATGTAGCAAAAGAAAACATTGCAACATGTATAATAGTAATGGCAGCTACAGGAAAAATGTTCTAATGATTTACATTTTCATCTGTTTGACAGGGAGGGATTTTTTATTTGTTTAACTTTCTTTGTTGCAACACATGATGATGAAAACTGTGTTTGTAGAATAAATTATGATTGCCGAATAATAACATATGCCGGGCACGTAATGTCATCACGTAACTATAAAGCTCCACTCTACAATTCTAAATGCCATGGCACGGACCGTGGTTGTGTGTTTAATTGTTGGGCAGGGGAGGGGAGGGAGTTTTTGCACTGGTTTACATTCGCTCTTCTGCTTGTATTTTCCATATAAACAATGGCTTGACTTACTTTTGATATTACCCTAATAAAGTTTAGAAACATTTGTGAAGGTTTGGTATCGTGTGACTATTATTAAGCTTTAGCTACTGCAGGCCTATAATATGAAGGCAGTGCGCCCCGGCGCTCCAACTGACTCCAACAGTTGAACTTGAGGTGAGGAAGTCTGTTTCAGGCCTACCAGAGTTACTCCTATAATCTAACAATATAATGCTTATCTTTATACAAAATATTCTGATAGAAAATTAACATCTATATCTGCATATCAGAAGCAGTAGCCATCTGACATACTGTAAATAAATGCATGTCGGTATCGCAGCATGCCACCGGCATATCTCTATCTCTCTCTATCTCTCTGGGGTTAGGGCTAAGCTTCTCTTCCTTTAAATATATACACCACCGGTCAAAAGTTTTAGAATACATTCTCATTCAAGGGTTTTTCTTTATTTTTACTATTTTTTACATTGTAGAATAATAGTGAAGACATCAAAACTATGAAATAACACATATTGAATCATGTAGTAACCAAAAAAGTGTTAAACAAATCAAAATATATTTTATTTGAGATTCTTCAAATAGCCTTCCTTTGCCTTGATGACAGCTTTGCACACTCTTGGCATTCTCTCAACCAGCTTCATGAGGTAATCGCCTGGAATGCATTTCAATTAACAGGTGTGCCTTCTTAAAAGTTAATTTGTGGAATTGCTTTCCTTCTTAATTTGTTTGAGCCAATCCAGTTGTGTTGTGACAAGGTAGGGTTTGTATACAGAAGATAGCCCTATTTGGTAAAAGACCAAGTCCATATTATGGCAAGAACAGCTCAAATAAGCAAAGAGAAATGACAGTCCATCATTACTTTAAGACATGAAGGTCAGTCAATCTGGAAAATGTCAAGATCTTTGAAAGTTTCGTCAAGTGCAGTCGCAAAAACCATCAAGCGCTATGATGAAACTGACTCATGAGGACCGCCATGACTGACTCTGGACCAGAGTTACCTCTGCTGCAGAGGATAAGTTCATTAGAGTTACCAGCCTCAGAAATTGCAGCCCAAATAAATGCTTCACAGAGTTCAAGTCACAGACACATCTCAACATCAACTGTTCAGAGGTGACTGTGTGAATCAGGCCTTCATGGTCGAATTGCTGCAAAGAAACCACTACTAAAGGACACCAATAACAAGAAGAGACCTGCTTGGGCCAAGAAACACAAGCAATGGACATTTGACTGGTGGAAATCTGTCCTTTGGTCTGGAGTCCAAATTGGAGATTTTTGGTTCCATCCGCTGCGTCTTTGTGAGACACGGTGTGGGTGAACGGATGATCTCCGCATGTGTAGTTCCCTACCATAAAGCATGGAGGAGGAGGTGTTATGGTGTGGGGGTGCTTTGCTGATGACACTGTCTGTGATTTATTTAGAATTCAAGGCAAACTTAACCAGCATGGCTACCACAGCATTCTGCAACGATACGCCATCCCATCTGGTTTGGGCTTAGTGGGACTATCATTTGTTTTTAAACAGGACAATGCCCCAACACACCTCCAGACTTTGTAAGGGCTATTTGACCAAGAAGGAGAGTGATGGAGTGCTGCATCAGATGACCTGGCCTCCATAATCCCCCGACCTCAACCCAATTGAGATGGTTTGCATCTGGGTCTCATCCTGAGTCATGATAGTACGAACTGGCCGTGACTGACCCAGCAGACTCGCACCAGCTCTGCAACACTGTCTGCTCACAAGGAGCCACCATTGGAAGACACGAGGAGTTACTACATAACCTTATGGAAGGGTTCCACACCTTGGCGGAACACCATGACCATGCCGTCAGTGCATTGTTGGAACAATTCCACGGACTATCTATTAGGCAGCAAGCCACAATGGAAACCTCCCAGACTCTCAGTAACCCCACTACCAGGGGTGCTTCTCCCCAGCCTACCCCGGTTTCCCGAGAACCCTGCTTACCTCCTCCGGAGCGCTACGCTTGGGATGCCGGAATCTGCCGGGCGTTTCTCTCCCAGTGCTCCCTCATTTTTAAGCTGTAGCCCTCTTCTTTTCCGTCGGACTGTTCGATGATGGCTTATCTTATAATGCTGATGTCACGGGAGGTTACTCGCCTGGGCTATGGCGGTGTGGGAGCAACAATCCACCGTTTGCCTTAGTCTGGAGGATTTTGTGGTGGAAGTAAGGAAGGTGTTCGATTCTCCGTTGTCTGGGAGAGAGGCGGCTCGGGAGCTACTACTACTACTACTGCGTCAAGACTCCCGTAGTGTGGCAGACTACGCGATAGACTTTCACACTTTAGCCACAGAGAGTTCCTGGAACCCGGAATCCCTGTTTGACACGTTCCTTCATGGATTATCAGAGGGAATTAAGGACAAGCTCGCAGCCCGGGAGCTGCCCTTGGACCTCAACTCTCTCATAGCCTTGACCTTAAGGATCGATGGGCGACTACGGGAACGCGGTAGGGAGAGGAGGTCTGTTCCTGGGCACACACACCCGTCCACGGTTTTCCCCTCGCCTCCGAAGAACCCCGGAAATCCCTGATGCCTGCATTCCCGAGAGAATCCGATGTCACCAGAGTTCCCTCAGAAGTCATTGAGGACCGTCGACTCGCCTCCTCCTGCTCCAATGCAACTGGGCAGGGCTAGATTGTCCCCTGAGGAACGTTTACGCAAACTGAGCTCTAAAAGCTGTCTATATTGTGGAACTTCAGGATATTACATATTCACCTGTCCAGTAAAATGCCCAGATTCATCAGTAGTGCCTCCAGTGCCTCCTGGAGAACCAGTTGTTTGTTAAGGCTGAGAAGTGTGAATTTCATCGCTGCACTATCTCCTTTCTGGGATGCGTCATCGCTGCTGGGAAAATTCAGATGGATCCGGACAAGGTCAGAGCGGTGGTAGTGTGGCCCCAACCCACATCCAGAATGAAGCTGCAACGTTTACTGGGGGGGCCCGGCTAACCAGTTTTTCATCCCGGATTCTGCCTGGTCCCCGGTCCTGGAATGGGCTCATTCCTCTAATCTAATTTGCAATCCCGGCTCCCGCCGGCACCTGGCCTTCCTCTGATAACGTTTTTGGTGGCCCACTATGGTTTCTGACACCTCCGCATTCGTTGCCGCATGCACGGTGTGTGCTCAGAATAAGACTCCGCGGCAAGCTCTGGCTGGCCTCCTTCAACCACTCTCTGTTCCTCTTCGCCCCTGGTCCCATATATCCCTGGACTTTGTCACTGGTCTCCCTCCATCTGATGGCAACACCACCATCCTTACGGTGGTGGATAGGTTTTCCAAAGCCGCCCATTTCATCCCCCTTCCCAAGTTACCCTCAGCCAAGGAGACAGCCCAACTCATGGTACAGCATGTCTTCAGAATCCATGGACTTCCGGGTCGACATAGTCTCTGATCATGGTCCTCAGTTCTAGTCCCGATTCTGGAAGGCATTCTGCACCCTCATCGGGTCGTCGGCCAGCCTGTCCTCCGGGTTTCATCCTCAATCTAACGGCCAATCGGAGTGTGTCAATCAGGACCCGGAGATGACTCTTTGGTGCCTCGTCTTGGCCAACCCCACCACCTGGAGCTAGCAAATCGTGTTGGTGGAGTAGGCCCGGAACACCTTTCCCTGCTCGGCCACTGGTCTCTCGCCATTCGAGTGTTCCATGGGTTATCAGCCCCCGCTCTACCCTGAGCAAGAGGAAGAGGTCAACATACCCTCGGCCCAGATGTTCGTCCGCCGCTGTCGGCGTACCTGGAAGAGAGTCCGCCACCGAACCCCGGCTCCCCGCTATCGTCTCGGGCAGAGGGTATGGCTGTCTACTCGGGATCTGCCCCTCCGAGTGGAGTCCCGCAAACTTTCCCCCCGGTTCTTCGGCCCTTTCCCTTTCTCTAAAATCCTTGGTCCCTCTGCTGTTCGTCTTCTGTTGCCACGCCCCCTCCATATCGATCCTACGTTTCATGTGTCCAAAATAAAACCTGTGTCTCACTGTCCTTTGTCTTCTGTTTCCTTTGTCTCCTGCATTTTCTGTTTGTCTGTTGCCAGTTCGTCTTGTTGTTTCCTCTTTCTGGTTTTTGTTCTAGTCTACCCGGTTACGACCTGTTTTGCCTGTCCTGACCCTGAGCCTGCCTGCCATCTACGTCTGCCCACTATTACCAGGTTTACGAACCCCTGCCTGTCCACAACCTGCTTTTTGCCTGCCCCTGTACGTTCAATAAATCTCTGAGACTTGAATGATTTGCCACAGATGTCTGCATCTGGGTCTCATCCGGAGTCATGATAATATGCTTAATTTAGAGTTATTTATGTAACTTTCGTTGTGATACAAACGTTGGGCTATAAGTTTTGATTTTTAATCAATTTTAAGGCTGCATGATGTGACTGATGATTTGAAAAAAGTCGTATGAAAGGCATGAGCTCTGCTTTGTTTCTTGTGCAGGCTGTACACACTTCATCAGTCTCGCATTCACAATTTGACAAGCACTTGATAATGCCTCAAATTTCCCGGTGTCATCCCTTTTGTGTGGCTGTAACGCCCCCCTAAAAAAATCCATGCCTTTTCCGGCCATTGGCCATTGTGGCTGAATATAATAATTATAATTCCCTTCTCCTTCTCTCGGCTGCGTGCTTTAAAGCACCTCTCACTCGAATGGCTCTCAGTCACGTGATCGGGTCTTTCTCACAGGCTACAAGTGACGACAGACACATCGGGGACGCAACTGCTCGCGTCCTTATCCAATTCTGAGGCGCATATTGAAGATATTGGAAGAACTGTCCACATGTACTTTTCGTCAGCCAACAAAATGAGTAGGCCTAACGAACAGCAAAAGCACTAGCCTATGTCAATCTACTATTCCCCATAGCACAAAAGTTTACCTATTCTATTCTGTGCGAGAAATAAATATTCCAAACACGGTCTGGGAAAGTTGTGGGATGGGATAGATCCTAAATTAATACAACCACTAGCATAAAATAAATGTGTTTTTAAGCAATGAGGCTGACATAACAAATCAAAATAGTTTAGCTTAAAATGTTGATAAACTATTAGGCTATTTCTTAACATTATAAGCGCAATAATGCGCACATGACAGTAGGCTATAAGCTTAAATGTTCCATTAGTGGGAAAACCCCATTCTCAAAAGTGACTATGCAATTATGCATGTAATGCTTTTATTTTAAAGGTGCATTTCTATGGTGAAAATTATCTTCCCCAAACTTGAAACTCACACACTGCGTATGTATGCCAGTTAGGCTCTAAATCGGTTGTAAAGCTGATTAATGTGCTTAATTTTAAGAAGTTATTTGGCCACTTTAGTTGTGATACAAACCTTATCAAAACATATAGGCCTGTGGGCTAGGCTACATGAGGTGTGCGACTATGATTTGAAAAAGTAGCACAAAAAAAGCATGCGTTTCTTGCCTTACTGCACACAAGCTGGGCATCATTCACAAGCGATAATATATCATTCACAAATGATAGGCTAATATTGTCACCCATCAGACTTTTCTTGATTTAATCTTTACATTTTCAAAATAATATATGTAAGAGAAGAAATGTGCTTAATATTAGGAAAGTTGAGAAATAAATATAGTAGGCATAGCCTATAGAAAGCTGATGGGATTCTCCTCTTTTTAATAGAGGCCATCAAAACTCTGTTTTCTCACGCAATTGTATAGCCTATAGAAATGTTGCGCAACATGAGCTCATAATAATATAATAATATGCCATTTAGCAGACGCTTTTATCCAAAGCGACTTACAGTCATGCGTGCATACATTTTTGTGTATGGGTGGTCCCGGGGATCGAACCCACTACCTTGGCGTTACAATAATAATAATAATAATAATATGCCATTTAGCAGACGCTTTTATCCAAAGCGACTTACAGTCATGTGCGCATACATTTTTACGTATGGGTGGTCCCGGGGAGCGCCGTGCTCTATCATGCGCTCTCATTAAGTGTTTTGATAACATTTTTGATTACATTTGCATTGATGTCAGAGTGATTAGAGGGACAATAGAGTGCTGAGTACAAGGCAGTTAGCTAGTTTTGTAGGCTACTATGACCATCAGCAGCATCAGAGCTTGGAGAAGCCTAATTACTATGACTAAACGGTCATGTGGAATTTGACTGCCATCATGATGCGTGACCACCGGTGTGGCGGTAATACGGTCACCATAACAGCCCTAAGCCTAATTCCTTTAAGCAGTGTGTTGGAGCCTATTTCTTCCTAATCAAGAAATAAGAGGTAGATAGCCAAACGGAATTATAGTAAACTATCCATAGATTTTGTCAGCCAGTTCCTTCAGTCACCATGCACTCCTTAAATATCTGTCAGTAAAGGGATTGGTGTGTTAAGTTAAAACCAGGGCCAGAATTGATGGGGTATGTGAGGGTATTGTTGCTTTTCTTAAAGAAAATGGCTAAAAGCATAGGCCTACCCCTTGTTAGCTAAAAAGAAAATATAACAACGCTTTAGTCAACAATACTTTATGCTAGAAACAAGCTGTAAAATGCAGGGGAAAGACGTGACTCCGATGTATATGGGATATTTTTAGTTTGTCTCTTTGACATTCAGAGGCTGAGCTACAACCTTCTATAGCCGAGGAGACAAAACATTTACTTTGCTTGTGAAGTAGGCTAACGTGCGATTCTGTCACTACCACAAGCGTCCGATAGCACCTTAATTGGGGAGGACAGGCTCATAGTAATGGCTGGAACGGAATCTGTGGAATGATATCGAACATATCCATGTGTTTGATACCGTTCCATTTACTCCATTCCAGCCATTATTATGAGCTGTCGTCCCCTCAGCAGCCTTCTGTGGTCACTATCAATTGATGTTCAACAGGCTATTAAACAACATACTAACTCTAAATCAGTCAGGAGCAAGCCAGGTATCCTAAGCCAGGAATCCGAATGAAAATTAATAATTTAGGCTATATTAGTATTATTTCAAGGCTAGGCTATAGCCTGCTATTAAATAAATAAATTGTGAAGCATTTGTGACACGCTACAGGCTGGCAGGAGCACTCAGCATTTCAACAACACATCAACAACAGCACTTCAACAACATGCCTATAAATTTCGCATTTAGGCGGTATAACATTTATTTTTTAAAAGTATTACTTAGAATTAAATAATTCGGTTGTACAGTCATTTCTACAGTGCCTTTCAATTCACTTTAAGAAACACGAGTTCGGCCAGTCTTTGATTTGAGGATCATGTTGTCACGATCGTCCTGAGAAGAAGTGGACCAATGCACAGCGTGATAAGTGAACATACTTTTTTATTAATTCACCACGAAACAAAACAACAAACGATACGAAACGTGAAGTCCTTGGTTACAATACAAACCATACGGAACAAGATCCCACAACACACTGTGGAAAACAGGCTGCCTAAGTATGGTTCCCAATCAGAGACAACAAGCAACAGCTGATACAATTTGCCTCTGATTGAGAACCACACCGGCCAACATAGAAACAAATGAACTAGAATATAACCCTAGCACACAAAACACATAGAAACAACACACCCTGGCTCAACATAACAGAGTCCCAGAGCCAGGGCGTGACAGTACCCCCCCCCAAAGGCGCGGACTGCAACCGCGCCAAACATAAACCGAACAGGGGAGGGCCGGGTGGGCATTCCTCCTCGGAGGCGGTTCCGGCTCCGGGCTTGACCCCCACCCTCCAACAAACCCCCTAAAGCGCCCCTGGTCCGGTCTGGCCCTGCTGGCCGGAGCTGGACTGAACACTGGTGGAGCGGATTGCTCTAGCTCTGGAGTGGAGCAGCTGACCGGTGCCGGACCAGGCACCGGTGGAACAGGCACGGGCTGTGCCGGACTGACGACGCGCACCACAGGCTTGGTGCGGGGAGCAGGGACGGGCCGGACCGGGCTGACGACGCGCACCATTGGCTTGGTGCGGGGAGCAGGGAGCAGGGACGGGCCGAACCTGGCTGACGAAGCGCACCACTGGCTTGGTGCGGGGAGCAGGAACAGGCCGGACCGGGCTGACGACGCGCACCATTGGCTTGGTGCGGGGAGCAGGGACGGGCCGAACCGGGCTGACGAAGCGCACCACTGGCTTGGTGCGGGGAGCAGGAACAGGCCGGACCGAGCTGACGACGCGCACCACAGGCTTGGTGCGAGGGGCAGGAACATGCCGGACCGGGCTGGCGACGCGCACCACAGGCTCGGTGCGAGGGACAGGAACAAGCCGGACCGTACTGGGGACACACACCACTGGCCCTACGCGGGGATCAGGAACGGGCCGGACCGGACTGGCAACACACCCCAGTACCTCTCGCCGTGCCTCTACATTATCCTTCCCCCTGGTGACCAGTGACTCCCGTAACCTGGCGGCCTCCTTTGCCAACCCGCTGAACCACTTTATCCCGGCCTCCTGCTGCCCCGTCGTCCACGGCGTGAGCCCCCCCCTAAAAAATTTCTGGGCGTCTCTCCTCCCCGTGGGCCAGGCCTCCATGGCTCTCGCCAGACTCTCGCTCCTCTGCTCCAAAGTCCAGCCTCTCTCCTCCTCACGCTGCTTGACCCAGTCGAGGTTGATATTCATCAGAGTCACCTCTGGCGTTGGCTCCTGGACACGCTGCTTGGTCCAATTATGGTGGGATCTTCTGTCACGATCGTCCTGAGAAGAAGTGGACCAATGCGCAGCGTGATAAGTGAACATACTTTTTTATTAATTCACCACGAAACAAAACAACAAACGATACGAAACGTGAAGTCCTTGGTTACAATACAAACCATACGGAACAAGATCCCACAACACACTGTGGAAAACAGGCTGCCTAAGTATGGTCCCCAATCAGAGACAACAAGCAACAGCTGATACACGTTGCCTCTGATTGAGAACCACACCGGCCAACATAGAAACAAATGAACTAGAATATAACCCTAGCACACAAAACACATAGAAACAACACACCCTGGCTCAACATAACAGAGTCCCAGAGCCAGGGCGTGACACATGTGGTGAGCTATGCATGCCTAGTTTGTTAATTTAGCCTAGCAGATGCTCTTATATTCCCATGCCCTAATCACAGTCAACACAAATCTATTTTGTAACAACAATATCATGGAATAAAATAGAATAAATTAGAAAATGATAGTTTCCTAAATGAATGATATGTGGCTGCTCTTAAAAAAAACGAATGGCTTTTTCTGTAATTCATTGATGATCAGATACTTCAGTTGTAACTGGTTCTGTTGTGCTCAATTTTGACAGTTAATAGACAACTTTAGTACTGTTCCAAACTTAGACTATCCTCTTTTTTAACAATAGCCTGAATAGAAGTCAAAACGTCTCCGGTGCTGCAGCATGTGCTCATTCGTTGTCATGCTCTTTTGTGGTATAAAAACATATTCTGCTTGTCTCCAGTCATGTAAAATGACGTAGAATAGCATGAAATGTGTTTATAAAAGGATTAAAAAAAATTGAACCCAAATAAGATAATAGATTTATGCAGTACTTTTATTATAATGGAGATATTTTCCCCCCTACCCTTGTCTGTGGTGGTCTGTGAATCCACAACCTTCTGGCTACTTTGCCATGTAATGCTTACAAAACAAAGATCCGTTTTTAAAACTGCATATCTAAGGCTCTGGTCTGTCCTAGGAGTGAGGGTAAACGGTGGGCATGTTCTCTGCCACTTTATGTTTTAATTATTATTCTGGGTGTAGGGGAGGGTCACTTGTTTTTTTTCAAGTGTTCAGGGAGGATTGGGTAAAACTATATTTTACTGAAGAGAGGGCCATGCATTTTCATTACAGAGAGGTCAGATTTTCTCCAGGTATCCCTCATTATAAATAACGAAGAGTCCCTTAGTACAGTGCTAATTGAAGGCTATTTTCAAAGCCCATTTTTGTTGCCGTATAGACTGCTATTTGTGTAGTACTTAGTACCTCAGTTCGTATAAATACATTTACCTTTATTGCGCCTGTGCAACTGCTTTGTACTAACATTGCCTTATTTCTGTTTGTACCTTAATTAAACCATCTAAAATGTATTTCCCAAAAACCATCAATGAAGCCATAAAGACCAAAGACAAATCTGTTTTACTAAATTGGACAAAAGGCTACCATCTCCATGTGTTCTTGCAGAAGTACCCATTGCGTTGCCTCCTACCAAGACTTTAAGCAATTTTTCATGTAGTACAGTGCCTTCAGAAAGTATTCACACCCCTTTACTTTTTCCACATTTGTTTGTGTTACAGCCTGAATTTAAAATGTATTACATCTAGATGTTGTGTCACTGATCTACACACAATACCCAATAATGTCAAAGTGGAATTATGTTATTAGATATTTTAGATATTATTTTTACAAATTAATGAAAATGAAAAGCTGAAATGTTTTGAGTCAATAAGTATTCCGCCCCTTTGTTCAGGCAAGTCTAAATAAGTTCAGGAGTAAAAATCTGCTTAACAAGTCAGATAATAAGTTGCATGGACTAACTCTGTGTGCAATAATGGTGTTTAACATGATTTTTGAATGACTACCCCATCTCTGTACCCCACTGTACAATTATCTGTAAGGTCCCTCAGTCGAGCAGGGAATTTCAAACACAGATTCAACCACAAAGACCAGGGAGGTCGCAAAGAAGGGCACCTATTGGTAGTTGGGTAAAAATAAAAAATTAAGCAGACATTGAATATCCCTTCGAGCAAGTAATTAATTACACTTTGGATGGTGTATCAATACACCCATTCACTACAAAGATACAGGTGTAGTGGGCAGTAATTTTATAATTTTTATATGATATTATAAATACCTCACATGCGACTGGTAATAAGACTAAGTAATTAGCCTATTAAAATGTTTATCTGACTCCATAAGATAAATAGTAATATGCAAGAGACTATAGTTGAGTTACAGTAATTCACAATGAAGAAATGTCTGAGAATGGAATTCTGAATACAAGTGTATTTAATTACTTTGTAAAATGAATGATAACATTACAAAGCATTAACAAGTGTTACAAGGCATTATTCCAAGCATGATCAGAGAGAGGGCAAAGAAACCATGACTGGTGCCATGGCCCATAGCTCATGGGAGAGGGGGAGAGAGAGAAAGAACAATTGTAGGTATCTCACCACAGCAAGTCAGGAACATAAAAGAGAAAGAACAATGAATCTAAGACCCTTTTATGAGTTGTTTGGATTCAAAATCTGAGTTGTTGACCAATAGTATTGCTGTAAAGTTAACCTCCAATCAGATATCAGACCTACATGATGTAACCTCTGCTTCTCAGAGGAGAGACAATGGGGGTTGGCAAGATCAACACAGAGGAAATGATTGTATACTATTTATAAGAAGAGTCACTTCGGGGGCTGCCCTACCAGGCATCCTTCCTAACTCAGTTGACGGAGAGGAAGGAAACCGCTCAGGGATTTCACCATGAGGCCAATGGTGGTTTTAAACCAGTTACAAAGTTAAATGGCTGTGATAGGAGAAAACTGAGGATGGATCAACAACATTGTAGTTACTCCACAATACTAACCTAAATGACTGATTGAAAATAAGGTAGCATGTACAGAATACAAATATTCTAAAACATGCATCCTGTTGGCACTAAAGTAATACTGCAAAAAAAATGTGGCAAAGAAATGAACTTTTTGTCCTGAATACAAAGCATTACAGTGGGGGAAAAAACTATTTAGTCAGCCACCAATTGTGCAAGTTCTCCCACTTAAAAACATGAGAGAGGCCTGTAATTTTCATCAAAGGTACACGTCAACTATGACAGACAAATTGAGATTTTTTTTTCCTGAAAATCACATTGTAGGATTTTTAATGAATTTATTTGCAAATTATGGTGGAAAATAAGTATTTGGTCACCTACAAACAAGCAGGATTTCTGGCTCTCACAGACCTGTAACTTCTTCTTTAAGAGGCTCCTCTGTCCTCCACTCGTTACCTGTATTAATGACACCTGTTTGAACTTGTTATCAGTATAAATGACACCTGTCCACAACCTCAAACAGTCACACTCCAAACTCCACTATGGCCAAGACCAAAGAGCTGTCAAAGGACACCAGAAACAAAATTGTAGACCTGCACCAGGCTGGGAAGACTGAATCTGCAATAGGTAAGCAGCTTGGTTTGAAGAAATCAACTGTGGGAGCAATTATTATGAAATGGAAGACATACAAGACCACTGATAATCTCCCTCGATCTGGGGCTCCACGCAAGATCTCACCCCGTGGGGTCAAAATGATCACAAGAACGGTGAGCAAAAATCCCAGAACCACACGGGGGGACCTAGTGAATGACCTGCAGAGAGCTGGGACCAAAGTAACAAAGCCTACCATCAGTAACACACTACGCCGCCAGGGACTCAAATCCTGCAGTGCCAGACGTGTCCCCCTGCTTAAGCCAGTACATGTCCAGGCCCGTCTGAAGTTTGCTAGAGTGCATTTGGATGATCCAGAAGAGGATTGGGAGAATGTCATATGTTCAGATGAAAACAAAATATAACTTTTAGGCAAAACCTCAACTCGTCGTGTTTGGAGGACAAAGAATGCTGAGTTGCATCCAAAGAACACCATACCTATTGTGAAGCATGGGGGTGGAAACATCATGCTTTGGGGCTGTTATTCTGCAAAGGGACCAGGACGACTGATCCGTGTAAAGGAAAGAATGAATGGGGCCATGTATCGTGAGATTTTGAGTGAAAACCTCCTTCCATCAGCAAGGGCATTGAAGATGAAACGTGGCTGGGTCTTTCAGCATGACAATGATCCCAAACACACCGCCCGGGCAACGAAGGAGTGGCTTCGTAAGAAGCATTTCAAGGTCCTGGAGTGGCCTAGCCAGTCTCCAGATCTCAACCCCACAGAAAATCTTTGGAGGGAGTTAAAAGTCCGTGTTGCCCAGCGATAGCCCCAAAACATCACTGCTCTAGAGGAGATCTGCATGGAGGAATGGGCCAAAATACCAGCAACAGTGTGTGAAAACCTTGTGAAGACTTACAGAAAACGTTTGACCTGTGTCATTGCCAACAAAGGGTATATAACAAAGTATTGAGAAACTTTTGTTATTGACCAAATACTTATTTTCCACCATAATTTGCAAATAAATTCATTAAAATGTGATTTTCTGGATTTTTTTTCTCATTTTGTCTGTCATAGTTGACGTGTACCTATGATGAAAATTACAGGCCTCTCTCATCTTTTTAAGTGGGAGAACTTGCACAATTGGTGGCTGACTAAATACTTTTTTCCCCCACTGTATGTTTGGGACTAATACAACACAACACATCACTGAGTACAACTTCATATTTTCAAGCATGGTGGGGTATGCTTGTCATCAGCAAGGACTAGGGAGTTTTTTTAGGATAAAAAGAAAAGTAATAGAGCTAAGCACAGGTAAAGTCCTAGAGGAAAACCTGGTTCAGTATGCTTTCCAACAGACACTGGGAGACAAATCCACCTTTCAGCAGGACAACCTAAAATGCAATTATACACTGGAGTTACTTACCAAGACATTACATTTTACATTTTAGTCATTTAGCAGACTCTCTTATCCAGAGTGACTTACAGTTAGTGCATTGATCTTAAGTTGGCTAGGTGGGTCAACCACATGTCACAGTCAAGTACATTTTTCCTGAGTTGCCTAGTTACAGTTTTGACTTAAATTGGCTTGTAAATCTATGGCAATACTTGAAAATGGCTGTCTAGCTGTGATCAACAACCAATTTAACAGGTTGAAACATTTTATTATGTATTTTTTAATTCTTCAACTTTGACATTACTTAATATTTTGTGTAGATTGTTGACAAAAAAAGGACAATTAAATCAATTTTAATCCCACTTTGTAACACAACAAAATGTGAAAAAAGTCAAGGGGTGTGAATACTTTCTGAAGGAACTGTATATGAGTGTATACAGTGCATTTGGAAAATATTCAGACAACCTTCACTTTTTCCACATTTTGTTACGTTACAGCCTTATTCTAAAATTGATTAAATTGTTTTTCTCCCTCATCAATCTACTGCACAGTCGTGGTCAAAAGTTTTGAGAATGACACAAATACTAATTTTCACAAAGTCTGCTGCCTCAGTTTTGATGATGGCAATTTGCATATACTCCAGAATGTCATGAAGAGTGATCAGATGAATTGCAATTAATTGCAAAGTCCTTCTTTGCCATGAAAATGAATTAATCCCCCAAAAACATTTCCACTACATTTCAGTCCTGCCACAAAAGGACCAGCTGCCATCATGTCAGTGATTCTCTCGTTAACACAGGTGAGAGTGTTGACGAGGACAAGGCTGGAGATCACTCTGTCATGCTGATTGAGTTAGAATAACAGATTGGAAGCTTTAAAAGGAGGGTGGTGCTTGAAATCATTGTTCTTCCTCTGTTAACCATGGTTACCTGCAAGGAAACACGTGCCGTCATCATTGCTTTGCACAAAAAGGGCTTCACAGGCAAAGATATTGCTGCTAGTAAGATTGCACCTAAATCAACCATTTATCGGATCATCAAGAACTTCAAGGAGAGAGGTTAAATTGTTGTGAAGAAGGCGTCAGGGCGCCCAAGAAAGTCCAGCAAGCGCCAGGACCGTCTCCTAAAGTTGATTCAGCTGCGGGATCGGGGCACCACCAGTGCAGAGCTTGCTCAGGAATGGCAGCAGGCAGGTGTGAGTGCATCTGCACGCACAGTGAGGCAAATACTTTTGGAGGATGGCCTGGTGTCAAGAAGGGCAGCAAAGAAGCCACTTCTCTCCAGGAAAAACATCAGGGACAGACTGATATTCTGCAAAAGGTACAGGGATTGGACTGCTGAGGACTGGGGTAAAGTCATTTTCTCTGATGAATCCCCTTTCCGATTGTTTGGGGCATCTGGAAAACACCTTGTCCGGAGAAGACAAGGTGAGCGCTACCATCAGTCCTGTGTCATGCCAACAGTAAAGCATCCTGAGACCATTCATGTGTGGGGTTGCTTCTCAGCCAAGGGAGTGGGCTCACTCACATGTTTGCCTAAGAACACAGCCATGAATAAAGAATGGTACCAACACATCCTCCGAGAGCAACTTATCCCAACCATCCAAGAACAGTTTGGTGACGACCAATGCCTTTTCCAGCATGATGGAGCACCTTGCCATAAGGCAAAAGAGATAACTAAGTGGCTCGGGGAACAAAACATCAACATTTTGGGTCCATGGCCAGGAAACTCCCCAGACCTTAATCCCATTGAGAACTTGTGGTCGATCCTCAAGAGGCGGGTGGACAAACAAAAACCCACAAATTCTGACAAACTCCAAGCATTGATTATGCAAGAATGGGCTGCCATCAGTCAGGATGTGGCCCAGAAGTTAATTGACAGCATGCCAGGATGGATTGCAGAAGTCTTGAAAAAGAAGGGTCAACACTGCAAATATTGACTCTTTGCATACACTTAACGTAATTCTCAATAAAAGCCTTTGACACTTATGAAATGCTTGTAATTATACTTCAGTGTACCATAGTAAAATCTGACAAAAATATCTAAAAACACTGAAGCAGCGAACTTTGTGAAGACCAATACTTGTGTCATTCTCAAAACGTTTGACCACGACTGTATATACTGAACAAAAATATAAACGCAACATGCAAACATTTCAGATTTTACTGAGTCACAATTCATATAAGGAAATCAGTCAATCTAAAGTAATTCATTAGGCCCTAATCTATGGATTTCACATGACTGGGCAGGGGTGCAGCCATAGGTGGGCCTTGGAGGGCATTGGCCCACCCACTTGGGAGACAGGCCCAGCCAATCAGAATGAGTTTTTCCTCACAAAAGGGCTTTATTACAGACAGAAATACTCCTCAGCACCCCTCCACCCTGCCCATCCCCCTTCAGACGATCCCGCAGGTGAAGAAGCCGGATGTGGAGGTCCTGGGCTGGCGTGGCTACACGTGGTCTGCGGTTGTGAGGCTGGTTGGACGTACTGCCAAATTCTCTAAAACATTGTTGGAGGCAGCAAATGGTAGAGAAATGAACATTCAATTATCTGGCAACAGCTTTGGTGGACATTCCTGCAGTCAGCATGCTAATTGCATGCTTCCACAAAACTTGAGACATCTGTGGCATTGTGTTGTGTGACAAAACGGCACATTTTAAAGTGGCCTTTTATTGACCCCAGCAAAAGGTGCACCTGTGTAATTTTGTATTTTATTTTTATTTCACCTTTATTTAATGATCATGCTGTTTAATCAGCTTCTTGATATGCCACACCTGTCAGGTTGATGGATTATCTTGGCAAAGGAGAAATGCTCACTAACAGGGATGTAAACAAATGTGTGCACAAAATGTGACAGAAATAAGCTTTTTGAGCATATGGAACATTTCTGGGATTTTTTATTTCAGCTCATGAAACATGGGACCAACACTTTACATGTTGCTTTTATATTTTTGTTCAGTGTATAATATATGTGCTCTCCGCATTTAGCTCAAGGTCCTCCTAATTTATCACACTGCCACATCTTACATTATTCTTTTTTTCAAACAACACAAAACACACACAAACGACAGCATACAAGCACACACAAACATCAATGACATCACCTTGCCCAGACCCACCTGCTCACACCCCCATCTCCAGCGCCCACATCACTTCTCCGCCACATGGCCTCAAACTGCACCATTTTGTTTCTCTCCGTCTCCCACACACTTTCAACATTTATTTAATAAAGCATTTGACCTTTCCATTGTGTTAACGATGGAGGATTGGTTGATTTCTAGTTTTTAAGTATATGTTTTTTCAAGAGGATTGATGAGGAAAGTATCATCCAACCCATTAGGTATCGCACTGCAACCTCACATGCTATGTCTTGAAATATGCAGACAGACAGATTAAACGTACATTTACATTGTAATACTTCTGACAGCCAACTTTTTAACTCTGCCCATAACTTTTGGACTTTATAGCATTCCCAGAAGGCATGGATTATTGAGTCATTGTTAGTTTTACACTTAAGACATGACTCTGCTGTTGTGTTGTAGAATTTGTGAATGTTGTCTCTTGTATAATATATTATATACGTTAGTTTATACTGGATTAAGCGTACATTTTAATTAACTGTAATTTCGTCAGTTACGTTCCAACGTTCCCTCCATCTTGTGCCAATAGCAGTTATTGTTAAGTGTTGGTTCCAGTAGTTTCTAAGAGATTGTCAGTTGAATATGCTCTCTGCAAGTTTTTTTTATATATATAACCTATCGTGTAAACTTTTACGTTACATTTACACTACATTACCAAAAGTATGTGGACACCTGCTCGTCGAACATCTCATTCCACAATCATGGGCATTAATATGGAGTTGGTCCCCCCTTTGCTGCTATAACAGCCTCCACTCTTCTGGTAAGGCTTTCCACTAGATGTTGGAACATTGCTGCAGGGACTTGCTTCCATTCAGCCACAAGAGTATTAGTGAGGTCGGGCACTGATGTTGGCGATTAACCTGGTTCGCCATCGGCGTTCCAATAAATCCCAAAGGCTCTGTGCAGGCCAGTCAAGTTCTTCCACAGCGATCTCGACAAACCATTTCTGTATGGACCTCGCTTTGTGCACGGGGGCATTATCATGCTGAAACAGGAAAGGGCCTTCCCCTTTGATGCATGCACATCTTCAAATTTCATGCAATTCCACTCTTTTTGCCTTGGGTCAGAGAGAAAGTGTTTCAGTTTTAAACAAATTTCCTGCAATTCTACACATTTTGCCACAACTTATGCCATGTTACATAATGATATCTGAGTGAGAGTGACTAACAAAATGGAGGTCAGGGTCCCTGGGCACGTGCCCTGCATGCCCGGTCGGTATTCAGCCATTATTACTACAAGTTTAGATATCTGGCTGGACTAACTTACCAATCTAAAAATTGTTAGCTGACATGGCTAGTTGAGTGACTGTCAGGTGACTGACATAACAAGATAACATTTGCTGATGCACAACTAAATTTTTAACCAGCACCTTGTGTATTCTACTCTTGTCACACCCTGACATAGAGATCTCTAGTTGGTTTGGTCAGGGTGTGAATATCTATGTGTAGATCTAGAATGTGTAGATCTATGTTGGCCGGATGTGGTTCCCAATCAGAGGCAGCTGTCGATCGTTGTCTCTGATTGGGGATCATACTTAGGTAGCCATGTTGCCTACCTTTTAGTTGTGGGATCTTGTTTCAGTTTGGCTTGTTGGATGTTTAGCCTTTTGAACTTCACGTTATGTTGGATATTGTTATTTTGTCTGTGTTTAATATAATAAACGACTACGTACGCATACCACGCTGCACCTTGGTCCAATCCTTTACACGACGAACGTGACAGAAGATCCCACCACCAACGGACCAAGCAGCATGGCCAGGGGGAGCAAACATGCTGGACACAGGTGGGGAACACATTTTGGACATGGGAGGAGATATTGGCTGGTAAAGGACCCTGAGCGAAGGAAGAGGCCCAGGCAGGAGAAGATCAACGGCGACATCGGAGTTCAGGACCGCGAAGGAAGCCCGAGACGCAACCCCAATAAAATGTTTGGGGGGGGCACACGGGGTGGTTGGCTAAGCAGCAGGAGGCCCAGAAAGACCTGCAGATTAGCACTCTGACAGAAGAGACAACCACCTTACGGGGGCTGATAGCGAAGAAGGAGCAGGAGATCTCCCTTCAGAAGGAGGCGCTGCAGGAGGCCCTCAGGGAGAAGGAGTCAGTGATTGCACGGAGAGAGGAGCTGGCCAGACAACAGGAGGAGCTGAGAGTGGAGATGACCCTCCAGCAGCAGAGAGCTCAGTCCTTAGAGCAGAGGCTGGCGGAGCCAGGTTTAGCAGAGCCAACTCCCTGCACTCGCTTTGAGGAGCGTGTGACCATGCAGGCACCAGGCTATGCGCTGGCTTTACGCACTGTGCCGTCAGTGCGCCTTCACAGACCGGTAAGGCCCATGCCTGCTCCTCACACCAAACCAGTGGTGCATGTCTTCAGCCCGGCACGGCCCGTGCCTGCTCCTCGCACCAAACCAGTGGTGCATGTTTCCAGTCCGGCACGGCCCGTGCCTGCTCCTCGCACTAAATCAGTGGTGCGTGTCTCCAGTCCGGCACGGCCCGGGCCTGCTCCTCGCACCAAACCAGTGGTGCGTGTTTCCAGTCCGGTACGGCCCGTGCCTGCTCCTCGCACCAAATCAGTGGTGCGTGTCTCCAGTCCGGTACGGCCCGTGCCTGCTCCTCGCACCAAATCAGTGGTGCGTGTCTCCAGTCCGGCACGGCCCAGGCCTGCTCTTCGCACCAAACCAGTGGTGCGTGTTTCCAGTCCGGTACGGCCCGTGCCTGCTCCTCGCACCAAACCTGTGGTGCGTGTTTCCAGCCTGGTACGGTCCAGCCCAGGGTCAGAGCAGTCCACTCCACCGGTGCCTAGTCTAGCTCCGGTCAGCTGCTCCACTCCAGTGCCAGAGCAGTCCGCTCCACCGGTGCCCAGTCCAGCTCCGGTCAGCTGCTCCACTCCAGTGCCAGAGGAGTCCGCTCCACCGGTGCCTAGTCCAGCTCTGGTTAGCTGCTCCAGTCCAGAGACAGAGAAGTCTGCTCCACCGGGGTCCAGTTCAGCTCCGGGCAGCAGCTCCACTCCAGTACCAGAGTAGTCCGCTCCACCGGTGTCCAGTCCGGGTCCGGTCGTCTACTCTCCCACACCAGGGTCCAGACAGGACTTGGTGCATCGCGGGAGGACTGCAGAGCCAGAACCAGACGTCAACCCCTCTCCAGGGTCTGGGCCTCCCACACCAGGGTCCAGACAGGGCTTGGTGCATCATGGGAGGATTGCCGGTCCAGGCCCAGATGTCAGCCCCTCTCCAGGGTCGGTGCCTCCCACACCAGGGTCCAGACAGGGCTTGGTGCATCATGGGAGGACTAAGAGGGGATGCATCGTGCCGGGGTCCAGACCGGACCAGGTGTGCAACGAGGAGCCAGAAAAGGAGAGGACAGTAAGGTTGACGTCGCGCCCGGAGACGGCGCCGCCACCGAGGCTAAATGCCCACCTGGACCCTCCCCTAATGAGTCAGTTTTGCGGCTGGAGTCCGCAACTTTGGGGGGGGGGGGGGGGGGTACTGTCACGCCTTGACATAGAGATCTCTAGTTGGTTTGGTCAGGGTGTGAATATCTATGTGTAGATCTAGAATGTGTAGATCTATGTTGGCCGGGTGTGGTTCCCAATCAGAGCCAGCTGTCGATCGTTGTCTCTGATTGGGGGTCATACTTAGGTAGCCATGTTGCCTACCTACTAGTTGTGGGATCTTGTTTCAGTTTGTCTTGTTGGATGTTTAGCCTTTTGAACTTCACATTCTGTTGGATTTTGTTATTTTGTCGGTGTTTAATATAATAAACGACTATGTACGCATACCACGCTGCACCTTGGTCCAATCCTTTAAACGACGAACGTGACAACTCTTCTAACTCTCAACAGTAAGTTGAGACCCCGACTGAGTTCCTAATATTTATTTCAAGAAACATGTTTTTTGTTGTTTGTCTGGGGATCTGTAGTGGCCTGGGGCCCTAAGCGACCGTTTATGCCTGGAGTCGGCCCTGCATTAGGGTCCTGTCTAATTCTTTCTGGAAGAGTTCAATTGCAATTGCCAATTTTTTTTATTTACGTATTTAATACATTTCTGGTCTTGAAGATGCGTTCTGTTCATTCCTCATATTCTGTCACTAAGTGTATTTTCTGTTGGTGTAATTAAGCATGGTACCGGAGAATGATCCGATATCACTAACCCAGTAAATTGTTGAGGGCATTTTTGTAGATTTGTTTTTGTGTCAATTCTTGAATAGCTTTTCTTACTTTGAGAAAAAAAGCAGTAGTCTTTTGTAGTTGGGAATAGTAAACTCCATGTGTCCTGTAAATTATTTGTAGAGATTACATTTTTCAGCCTCTTTGAAGGCTCCTTGAATTTGCCCTTTTTATTGCTAAGTCTGTTAATCTTATCAAATGTATGATTTTAGGTTGCCTGCTAAAATAATAGTTCCTGTCTGGATTTTATCTAATATAGCTAGAATTCTAAAAATACCAGATTTGCCCCTGGTGGGATATACTGTACAATGAAATCAATGTGTATCTTTCACCATGGAAGGTACAATTCAACATTAGAAAATGGCCTTCTTGGTCCGTGTGCTAGGATATAAGGGAAAAGGGTGTATTCTTATTTATCAGGATGCCTACAGCTCTGCTGTTACTACAGCAGGTGGCAGCAAAGGCCTCTCCAACCCAGCTCTTGTTTAAATATTCAATATGTCATGTGAGGGCGGTGGGCATTCCATGGATTGGAAAAGTCATAGTATGAATACAGTTCATAGTTATTGTATACATTTGCCACATCTCAAATTATATCTAACCTATATGTAAACCGAGTGGCTGCAGATCTGACTTTTTCCTGACCTTTTTTTCCTAGCTCTAAAGGTCCTGATGCGTCTGCGCAGCTGTTTATTATCTACTTTATGCACAGTCTCTGCTCTACTCCTAGAGAACAGGCTACTCTGGCGAATGGTGCTCGTTTAATAAAGTTTGATCAAAGCTGAATCAATGTCTGCAAGACCACATAGTATTCTACGTAACATAACCGAATATAATAGCATACTACAAAGTTACTATAAGACAAAAACACCACTACTCATGTGGCCAAAACTCAACAGCGTGCAACACTAGGCAAAATACACAGGTAGGCTTTTCACCTGTAAAACTAGAAGAATTATCCTTCACGACTGACAATGAGAAATGTGAAGGGTAGGAGACCACAAATGTGTGCGTAGAGGTAAAGAAACACATGTGATCGACACATGCGCAGAAGCTTCAGGAACTTTAGTGCTGGGAAAGAAAGGTCCAGAAAAGTCGGATCCGTACCCACTGCCATATGTAATTTGTCCTGGATATCAAAACAGTACTATGATCATCATAACAACACCTTTTCCAACCCCAAGGTTCACTTATGGTGCTTGACCCTTCTGTCACTGTTGCTTGATTAGTCTATCAGAGCTTGATGTAAAGTCCACTGAACTACAATTAAGAAAGATAAAAATATGATGAGAAATTCTGAAATACATAATGAGAGAACATTTAAACAATTAAAGAAGTAGTAGCTTAGGGGAGAAAATGTGAAGATGCCAATCTATATCAAAATAAAACGCATGATTTATAGATGACGCATTCTGCTTTTCATACACTGTAATGGAAAACTGTAATTTATACGGTAATTTTAGGTATCATCAACAGTAAAAAATAACTTTTTCAGGCAGCATACTGTAAATTCTGGTGTATTGTGGGAAAATTGCTGTATTTCGAATGGTACTGTAATTCCACCAAACAGAATACAGTGCCGTACCATATCTTTGGAGCGCCAAAAACCTTTTGACCAGTAGTAGGTGCATGGTATTGTTGTTTCTGGCTCATTAACATATTTTGAGGCGTGCCTTTTAAGAGGCTATATTTGTTGTGCCTGTTAGTGAGAATGCTGTACCAATTTAACTCCTATGTGTTTATAGTGCCCTTTCAATTTAAAATGTATAGGGGATAGATTAGGGTGGCAGACAGTCTTAAACCTTAAATGGTTGAGCATTTTGCCATGTCCTTTTGGTCTGTTTTGCCCTGTAGTCGCTGCCAGTTTGGAAGCCTTTGTTAAGGCCTCTAGAAGTGCAAGTGATATAAAACACAAAATATTCATTAATATACTGTAATGCATAAACACTTTATCAAGCAGCCAACCTGATTGCACCAATCTCTAGTAATTACAGTAAAATACTGTGAAGTACAAACCCCTACCATAAATTAATTTAATTCATTCATCCATTAATTAATCATAACATTATATGAATGTCCTGTGCAACCTAACTTAAACATTTGATGAATGTCATCACAACTGACCATATTTTGTGAACCTATCTCTTGTAATGTACCCACACTGTTCCCATAGCCTAATTAAATGTTCTGGGAACCTTTGAAGAACTCAGAAAGTCTGTTCTGTTAACATTCTTGAAACATAAATGGAATGTTTTGTGCTCCCTGATACAAACATTATCTGAACATCAGCACAACTGGACAATTTTAGTGTTTTGGGAACCTGTCTCTTGCCATATCCCCACAATGTTCGCACAACCTAAAGAAACATACTGGGAACCTTTTAAAGAACAGACAAAATGTGTTCTAGGAACATTATTTTAACATCAGGAATGTTTTATACAAAATTTCTATAATCATCTGTAGGACTGGACAGTTTTTGTGTCATGGGAACTTTCACAGAACCAATTTTGTTTTAATGGAAAACATCACTGGTACATTGTGTTATTACATTACCTGGGAACCTAATGAGAACTTTGGGGGAATGTTCTGTGGTGGTTGTTACAGATGTTGCGCACAACATGTTAGTTGATGTTAGGAGAACATTCCAAGGATATTTCTTTAATTTTTATGAGAAAACAAAGATTTTGTTATCAAAAGCAACTGTATAGCTATGACAGCACGCTTTTATGCACCAGCAAAACCATCAATTTGAGTGACATTTTTAAGTAGGTTTGTCTATACCTTTGAGGGTCAATTACCATACAAATTTAGACGAGAGACCTATTCCAAACGACCTTACCATCTAAAAAATGTATGAGTGGCCCTATGCTATACAAATCTCTGAGGTCTCACAGGTGATAATAGGCAAACAAAAGAGCGCAGAGCTGAGTTACCAACATGACAAGACTCACCACATCTCAAAGCAACCCTCATTAGATCAGCATCAATATATTATGGTGGCCTACGTTATTCCAAAACATAAGGAACATCGTGTGGGCCTATGATGTAGTAGGCTACATTATAATTACCATGTTTTTTTAAATGTAGGCCTAATTACAATACATGCAACGTTACAACAAGTATTTATAGTTGAGCAATGGGAGGGTCTTGGTGTTGATAGGCGGGTTGGCAGCCACATTGCTAGTCTCGTTTCCCTCCGCTCTTTCTAAATCCAATCTGAATAGGACAATATCCAAGCGGGAGAGCTGTGGGAAAGAGTGCACCCGGGAGTTTGTCCGCCTCCACCGAAGCAGCCCTTGTTCTAAACTCGGGTTGGACTCGGTCTCGGTCTGTTTGTGCGCGGAGCTCTGTGGCCAGAGAGAGAGAGAGAGAGAGAGAGAGAGAGAGAGAGAGAGAGAGAGAGAGCGAATGAGGAAGAACTCTCAGTGCACCTTTTTGTCCTCCGATATGCAGATTTGCTGATAAAGCATCAGTTATCTGATCATCTCATACAGGTCGTGGAAAACTGCCAGTGTATGGGAATCTTTAACTATTTTTTCTTCACATGGGTATCTCTCCTTGATCTCCTATCTAACCCAAAACGAATGTGAGCTGTAATAGGCTACTTACTACTGACAGCTCTTGCGGCTCTCTATTGGCATTTTTACGTCTAGCCTAGGCTACAACAACTACTATTGCTGACTTATTCTGCCTGTGGATCTTGCCGTTGCGTCTTAGAAAAGGTATGATTCTGTTACTATTGTTATCATTAACAGAGCAATATTGGGTATTTGTGTGACACAATCTTCTTACAGCAAGTTTAGTCCAGGCGATCACCCAATAGATGGAGTTGAGGAGTGCTTACTTCGATGATCGAATGTTGCCGCATGTCTTGGCTAGCCTATACTATTCTGTATAGGGTATTTGATATTTTACGGCTCTACTGGGATTAGTAGACTATTCTGTCTAAAATCAGAATGGTAAAGCCTGGATGGAGACTTCTATTGAGACTATTTTAGCTTTTGAGAATACCTCAATTTGTAGGCATTGGTTTTCCTTTTGCGCTTCCTTGCTCGCTTGCCTGCCACAAAAAGACGTGGTCGTTTGCGCTAAGCAGCATTCCCAGATACCGGTATGCAAGTGAAAGTTGTGTAAAACGTCCATTCACATAGCATAGATAGATTCATGTCCGCAATAGTAGGCTACATAAGGCAAATCGGGACCTATTTGCGCTACTCCATTGCGCCAAATGCATTCACGTAGCCTATGCAGGTTAAATGTGCAGGTTGTGCGGTCGCTCGCATTGTGGTGATTGGGACTTCTAATATGCGGATTCAATCTGTGGATTAGAAAATAGGGGTTTTCTATTGAATTATGTTCTGTAGGCCTAGTCATTAATATATCAAATGTAATAAACTGATGGTAACGTGTAAAACAATAGAAATCACATAACCGTCCATTTACAAGTAGCCTTTCTATTGTAAATCTGACAAGAATAATAGGCGTTCAACCGGGTAAAGATGCACTAAAGGCGGCACCAAATTGTAGGCTATATACCGCGTGACCATTCCTTCATAATTGATTTATTATATAGCCTCAAAAGATTGATAAACTAGACCTAAATTATTAGTTATCATATTTAGCCTACTGTCTTATTAATTTCTTATTTAAGTTCATTTTAATAAAGAGCTATATAAAACAATAATTCATTATTATGAAAATATGCCTATGGAAAAGATGGCTTAAACTTCAATTATATGCTATTATAATCTTGGAAAACAGAAAGGAAAACGCCGCACACTGCTGCTCATGCTCCCAGGTGATTTTATTTATAACAACGTTTCGACCCTTAGGTCTTCATCAGGCATCCAGTCTATTATAATCTTGACTAGATCTTTGCGTGTCTGCTTCCTTTCTGACTACAATGATGCTGACTTGTCCAGCCCCGTGAGTAGTGTCGCATCACTCCCGCTTCACTGGATGCTTCCCTTACCCGCGGTGTCTTAGCGCATTTAGCAGGCAATGCACACTCAAGATCTACTCTCTTCCCTCTTATTTCAAAGGTCGGGGAACCGTTCCTCCCCCGACCTGCACTGTAAGAAGAATGATAGTCACCAATATTACTGGTCATTATAGAGCAGGGATGGGCAACTACAGGCTGAGTTTTTTTAGGAACTCAGTCGGGGTCAAGAGGGCGGCCGCTAAAATGTTTTGCTCGCAAGGTTGGGGACCCACAAAACGCCCGCTTAGGGCCCCCAAAAGGCTAAGTCTGGCTCTGACTGCATATGTTGGTATGGCTGTGGGTAGCAGACCCACAAGCCATTGCGGCCCCTCATGATGAGTTCAGATTTTTTTGTGGCCTCCACCCAAATCAAAGTTGCCCATCCCTGTTATAGAGCCTTGTAAAATATTCTGGATGCAATCAATCGGTCATAAACTGCAATGCATGTGACATATCTGCATAATGTTCCCTACAAAGCATATGAAATATGTGAAAAGTCATTATCCCTGCAGAGAATCAATAAAAATGTATCTGCTGCTTCCTCCCTTCTCTCCAACCAAGTGGCAGACCCTATATGGTTGGTTCTCTTATAGGCATCACAGCTACTCACCAGGGGAATTATCCACCAATATGCAATTGATATTAAATGTATACTATGGTCATATTATATTATCATATCATTAACGTGAATTACTACATTGTTATAACACTATTATTACAATGAGAGCATGTTGTGTTTCATTTCCAGTCATTCCATTCTTTCATTTCCCCCCTTTCTGTAGGTTTAGGAAGCAGAGGAAGTGAACCACTCCAGAATCATGGGACACTTTCAGATCTTCCACATTCTCTCCCTTGGCCTTCGGTTCGTGGCTGTTGTAGCGATCCTGTTCCTCAAATTCCAACATGTGACGGCTATGTCCTCGGACGTGGACTTGGATCAGATTGTGTCTCCTACTGCCAGCAGCAACGTTACTGTGTGCACTACAGCAGGCACAGCATGCGAAAAAGGGGTGATTCTGCCTGTCTGGGAACCTCAGAATCCCTCATTCGGGGACAAAGTGGCACGGGCAACAGTCTACTTCGTGGCCCTGGTGTACATGTTTCTCGGAGTATCCATCATCGCTGACCGTTTCATGGCGTCCATCGAGGTCATCACATCTCAGGAGAAAGAGATCACTATCAAGAGACCCAACGGAGAGACCACCACCACCACCGTGCGGATCTGGAACGAGACCGTGTCCAACCTCACGCTCATGGCCCTGGGTTCTAGTGCCCCTGAGATCCTACTGTCCGTCATTGAGGTTTGCGGACACGGTTTTGATGCGGGAGCCTTGGGCCCCAGCACCATCGTGGGCAGTGCCGCCTTCAACATGTTTGTCATCATCGGCATCTGTGTGTACGTGGTGCCCGACGGGGAGGTCCGGAAGGTCAAGCACCTGCGCGTCTTCTTCGTCACAGCCACCTGGAGCATCTTCGCCTACATCTGGCTCTACCTGATCCTGGCTGTCATCTCCCCTGGCATAGTGCAGGTATGGGAGGGCCTGCTCACCCTCTTCTTCTTCCCCATCTGCGTGTTGTTCGCCTGGGTCGCTGACCGACGCCTGCTCTTCTACAAGTACGTCTACAAGCGCTACCGTACCGGCAAGCAGCGGGGCATGATCATTGAGACCGAGGGCGACCGCCCGCTCCCGTCCAAAGTCGACATCGAGATGGATGGGAAGATGCTCAACTCTCACGCGGCGGACTTCCTGGACGGGCCTCTGGGGTTGGACCTGAACGTGAAGGACCTGGATGAGGAGGAGACCCGGCGCGACATGGCCAAGATCCTCAAGGAGCTGAAGCAGAAGCACCCAGACAAGGAGGTGGAGCAGCTGATTGAACTGGCCAACTACCAGGTATTGAGTTCGCAGCAGAAGAGCAGGGCCTTCTACCGCTGCCAGGCCACCAGGCTCATGACCGGCGCTGGGAACATCCTGAAGAAGCATGCAGCCGACCAGGCCCGCAAGGCCATCAGCTTGCACGAGGTCCGCTCCGATGTGGCAGATAACGACCCCGTCTCCAAGATCTACTTTGACCCTGGCTCCTACCAGTGCCTGGAGAACTGCGGCACAGTGGCAGTGAACGTGCTACGCCGAGGCGGCGACCTGACCAAGACTGTGTCGGTTGATTTCCGTACGGAGGATGGATCAGCCAACGCGGGCTCGGACTACGAGTTTACCGAGGGGGTGGTGGTGTTCAAGCCCGGCGAGACCCAGAAAGAGATCCGCGTGGGTATTATCGATGATGACATCTTTGAGGAGGACGAGAACTTCCTGATCCATCTGAGCAACGTCAAAGTGCTGCTGGCAGAGGGGGAGGAGGTAGAGAACCCAGAGACAAATCACGTGGAGGCGGTGGCCTGTCTCGGCCTGCCCGCTACGGCAACCGTGACCATCTTTGATGACGACCACGCCGGCATCTTCACGTTCGAGGAGCCGGTGGCGCACGTGAGTGAGAGTGTGGGCACCATGGAGGTGAAGGTGCTGCGTACATCGGGGGCACGTGGGGTCGTCATGGTGCCCTACAAGACTGTCGAGGGCACGGCACGCGGATGTGGAGAGGACTTTGAAGATACACACGGGGTCTTGGAGTTCCAGAACGATGAAATCTTGTAAGTTCTTATTTGACTTCTGTACAGGGAATGTTATGTTAAGTATTTAGTTATTTTATATGTGGGGCTGACATTACACTGCTTATAAGCGTACTATTATGCATTTTTTGGCATTTAAAATTGAATGAATACTTTCAGCCAAATTTCTCATAAAGTGAGTAGGCTTTTGAAATATGTAGTATAATATATGAATCTGTAGCCACCAATGCAGTTTATTGTCAGTCTCTTTAGATATGCATGTATAGTCTATGCTGATGCTATATTTTGTTTGTCTGTGAATGCATGTCTTGATGATGATGATGATGATGTGATGGATGCTGAGTGTGTTTGTGTCACGTCGTGGTTGTGGTGCAGTGGACTGCTCGTGTGCCATTAGGGGACGTCTTCAACTCCCTTAGTTTCCGATCTCCTCTCTGCTTCTTCTCATTCATTCATTATTTCATTCATTCGCTCATTTACTTATTGATTTATTTATCGAATGTGTGATTTCTGCTGAGTTCTCAGCAACTGTGTTTTGATCGCACTCAGATTTATCCATGTTTGATTGCTACTCATTAATTTCAGTGGCATGACTAGCCTGAACTCTTTAAGGTTGACTATTGCTGATGTGTCTTGAATTGATTGCTTAGTAGAAATTCTGAGTAGAAATGATTGACTTGACATTCTGGGTTAATGATCAGGCCAGGCTCTATACTGTTCTGGAAAAGAGCATGTCATATTTCTATACATTAAGGTTTGGGCTAGTTAATTCTTTTTTTAAAGGACAAGAGCTACTTGTCTCTCTCTCTATTCCCCTCTCTAACTCCCTCTCTTCCTCTGTCCCCATACTCACCCTCTTTGGCAGGCAGGGGACGAGTGAGACAGATTAATTTAAACAGTTTCAAAGCAGATGTTTAGGTTCAATTTTCCGAGGCCCATTGCATAGTTTCCATAGTGTAGCTCTCAAAGCACAGCTAAGTGGATTTTAATAATATTTGTCTAAATGAAATGATGGAGTGTCAGAGGCGAGGGGGCGGCAGCTCTCTAAGGCAGACCTTCTACTCCATCCTATATGAACCTGTAGGAACCAGTAGACTACATTCTGGAGTCTAGACCAACAGCAGCTCTGGGAAAGGAGTGGAATGAATGGTGGAACTGGATTTTGAATTAATTACAGTTTTCGGCCTGGAATGGAGTGGTGTTAGCTGACTGTGTTGTAATTGTCCTTGCGAGGTGTAATTTGATTTTAATATGGCAATATAATATAGCATTAGATTAGATTAGATGAGTTTATTAGTCACGTGCACAGGGTCGCATATGTAATTGCAGAGTACAGTGAAATTCTTAAGCTCCGAGCTCCAACAGCGCAGGTCAAAAAGAGAAGTGAATGTCCTTGAGGGAATGTCCATAAGGGAATGTCCATAAGGGAATGTCCATAAGGGAATGTCCATAAGGGAATGTCCATAAGGGGAGCAGCAGGAGGTGAAGTGAGAAGTGAAAATAAATACATATTTACAACTGAAACAATGATAAATGTCCATTGGGGGGTCGGGGCAGGGTAAATGTTCATAGGGGGAGCAGCAGAGGGCGCAGGACCTGCCTAGTGGTGGCTATTCAGCAGCCTGATGGTCTGGGGGTAGAAGCTATTGGCCAGACTGACAGTCTTTGCCATGATGCTGCTATACTGCCCGCATCTGAGTGACGGAAGCGGAGAGAACAGGCTGTGGCTCGGGTGGCCGAGGTCCTTGATGATCTTCTTGACCTTCCTGTGACACCTGGTGTTGTAGGTGTCCTGGAGGGCAGGCAGTGTGCACCCAATGGTGCGTTCGGCTGAGCGTACCACCCTCTGTAGAGCCTTATGGTCATAGACATAGTCTCTGTCTACCTCATTGGTTTCATTTCCACCAAAATTATACTAGTATCTACATATAAACTTTTTATTCAATATCTTGCCAAAGTATATTTCATGAATTTTATTCTAGCAATATTTTGACCTAAGTAATGTTAATCTCTGAGTGGGTAGGAGTCCGTATCACAGTTTCATTTTCAGATGACAAGCAGGCTAAACCTCCTACCACCAGAGAGCTGGAAACACACGTGTTAAATGCCTCCCAACAAGCCCTTGAAGAGATAGATCCCAGAAGGGGAGAGGACATTTTTACTCTGGAAAAATGAATTACAAAGTGGATGATCTAAATTGGAGTGCCCGGGGGCTGCCTCTACCCTAATTCAGCTGCAAGGTCCCTCCTTCCTTTGTGTCACAGTCAAGCCAGGAGAGGATAAGTTTTAGCCCTTTCAGTAGGGCTTTTCTTCCCATCAGAAAGCGAAGTGTAATTTTTCTCCAGAATTGAATGTGAGGGCCTGAGTAGCCCTGCTTGGAGACATGGGCTAGTGCAGTGGCTGTGATTGTGGTTTGTTTGACCGGAGGATAGATTGGGGAAATGACTGGAGAGTGGAAGATTGGGCAAATGATGGTGTTTTCAGCTCTCTGCTTTTGTCCTCTGTGGGAAGGATAGAGCAACTAATGTGTGGATAGACAGAAATAGCAAGACAAAAGAGAGACATGGCGAGAATCTTTATCATTTAAAATGTACAGTTGCATTGTGGTATAGTAAAGCACATTCATGCACTGCCGTTTTCAGTCATTGAATTTCAGGCTGACAGTATGAGGAGCTGGATAGAGATCCTTATTAACAGAGGTATTTCAGTTTGTGCGAGCTGCCGTAGCATCTTGCTATGCTATTCAGTGGCCCCACCACACCATGACACTCCGCATCCTCCCTCGATCCCTCCCGTGTGAGTGCTTGTCACATCCAAGCCGCCGTCCCCCTAAAGTTTAGTCATTAATCAGTAATGAGGCTTTTGTGAGGTCCGTGTCGCAGTCTCTCCTCTGACAGGCCTGTTGTACAGGAATACAGATTCATTTAATTAGCATGGATAATTAACAGATTTTCTGTCTGTCTGTTTTAGGGGCATGCCAGTGGCAGTGGTGACACCAGTCACCAGTGCTGTTCTGTGGTTGGGTTCACAGATGTCATGGCTAGTGTAGGTCCATTAGATAGAGATGGTCTTATGGATTATTGTGTAGCATTATAAGGAACTAAATCCTCAAGCCTCTTATAACTGAAAGTTGTGACTGTGTGTGGACATGATACAGAAGATCTTGGATCTGTTGATCAGTTTTGGTCTCCATTCTCAATATTAATTGTCTCTGGGTCCCAGGCCTGTAGGTTTAGCCTGTTTAGTTTCTATGACTGTGGCCATGGTATCTATGACACTGTAAAGTCGACCCCAGCTATGTGAGGACTGTTGCCCTTCAGGGGTGGGAGATAAAGGCTTGTGTTTAATGCAGAGGAATAACAGGTGGAAATAACTCCTGCCAAAGTAGTGCTATTACCATGTGCTCAGTAACCGGAGAACACATGCCCTTCACACCCATGGAAACTACTGCCAGAGGTGTGTGTGTGTGTGTGTTTGTGTCTGAGTAAATAAATACATGTACAATCTTTGTCTATGTTAGGAGTCTTCTTATTTGTCTATGTGTTCATATCCTGTGTACAGTATACCTCTACATTCAGGAGTGTGACTGGGTGTATTCATGGGACTGACATCATGACATCATGGCTTTGTGGTCTCCCTGGGCTGTTTACATGAGCAACATGGCTGCTCAAGGTGTGAAATAACCTTCTCACACTGATCTCACCCTGCTAGAGCTGCTGCTGCCACTGACATTTGCCCCAGTTCACATCAACACCGCCATAGATGAGTTATGCGTAAAAACAGACATGGAACACAGAATGTCAGTGACTTATCCAAAAAATATGTTAATTTCTGCTTCCCTAACCCAAATGTAAACATCTTGTCTCAACTCTCTTCACCTTCACCACGTTTCCATCCATATTCAGGCAACTTTGAGGGAAATGGGGCCATGGACATAGATGTTGTTTTTTGCTTTGTCATTTTGTCCTGGTTTTGTGGTGGTGCAGTGTGGCAGCACAGCCAGGTCAGTGGAGAGAGAGAGGAAGATGAAGGGGGTCAGTCGTTTGACAAATGAGCCCAAACCGGCTGCCTCCACAAAAAGGTAATCGCTAAGCAACAGATGTGATGGAGGAGAAGAGGAGGGCACCTCCAGGCTCCAGGTATATGAGACACAGGAACTGGAGAACCAGTAGGAGAGGACAGAGAGAAGGCCTGAGGGACAGCTGGAGGGAGAGAGAGAGAATGCTTAAAAGGGGGAGTAATGGGATATGGGGTGATGGAGGGAGAGACAGAAAGAGAAAAGGGAGATAGAAAGAAACATAGAGTGACAGAGAAAGTGAGAAGCGATGTTAAGGGGCTGGTTTAGAGTTTATAGCTGGTGCAGTGGAGTAGAAAAACAGGAAAAGGGAGTAAAAATCTATTAGTGCTACCCAAGTAAGATAATAGATTGCGTTGCATGATTGGACTGGAGAGTCTAAGCTGAAACAAAGCAGTTGGCATGTTCGGTCTTGCTATGGCACTACTTTCAACGAGCTGCTTCCTCTGGCGTTTTCACTGCAGCCAGTACAGATTGAACTACTGAAGTCTTCTTTCCACTCTCCATCCTTAACTGTGCACAGCACCGCTCCATTCCTTCTTGCCATTCTGGACTGCTATGCCACCCACCAAACCGCCATACATCTCTCCCATTGTCCACTACGCTCTGATACTCCATCTGACCTTCACGGACCCCGACTGACTCAGGACGCTACGACCGCGAACTCATCCCTGTGTACAGGGATGACGCTCTAGTTGACGCCTGTCTCTCGCTGCTCGCCAGTTGTGCACGGCAGATGCGATAGGAGAAGCGTCTTCCTCTATCTCTCTCCTCTCTCTCCTCTCTCTCTCTCTCTATCGCTCTCTCTATCTCTCTCTCTCTCTCTCTCTCTCTCTCTCTCTCTCTCTCTCTCACTCACTCACTCACTCACTCACTTACACACACACACACACACCACACACACACACACACACACACACATGCACAATTAAATACACACATCTCAATTC